TGGGAAGTAATTGCCTTTTCTCTTCTTCCTCCAGTTATCACCCGTTTCGTTACATTTTCTTAATTATGTTACGGAATTTGACGAGAATCTTGTTTTTCTCTGTTATTGCAGGCTCTAGGCCTGGCTTACCAGCGACTTGGAATGTTTACTGCTGCTATCAAGGTAAAAAGACATTGTTCCCTTTTTGTACTTTCCCTGTTTCTTGAAGTGGTTTGAGTTTTTGTTTATTTCCATTGTGGCCTTATTTCTCAATGATACAACAGGCGTATGGCCGCGCCATTGAATTAGATGAGACCAAAATTTTCACATTAGTAGAGAGTGCAAATATCTTTTTGATGCTTGGTTCATATAGAAAGGTAAATCCTTTGTAACCACGTCTGTTCCATATTACCTCTTTGGAAAGTTTGTCTTTATGCCTCCAAAAGTCTCATATATAGTATTTGTATAGGGTGTGGAGCTATTTGAGCAAGCGTTGAAGATTTCGCCTCAGAATATTTCTGTGCTTTATGGTCTTGCTTCTGGATTGCTTAGTTGGTCAAAGGAATGCATAAATTTGGGCGCATTTGGGTGGGCAGCTTCATTGTTGGAGGTTAATAACACTAAAATCTTGTGATATGTCCTGCTTTCATCTATATTTCAGTTACCTATATGAGAGAGCGATTAATGTAAATTTACTATAGGATGCCCGTAAAGCTTCCAAAGAAAGCAGTGAACTGTCCAGCAACATGTCTTGTATATGGAAATTGTATGGGGATATTCAGGTACTTTAGTCTGTCCTTGTATTTTGAAGTGTAAAGCTTGCTCATTATCTGGCGATCTAATATTTAATTCTTGAGCAGCTTACATATGCAAGATGTTTTCCATGGTCTGGTGGAACTCAAAACTCAGAATTCACGTTGAAGACATTTAGTGATTCAATCCTTTCTTGGAAAAGCATTTGTTACTCAGCTGCATTGTCAGCCAAAGCTTCTTACCAGCGAGCTCTACACTTAGCCCCTTGGCAAGCTAACATTTATACTGACATAGCCATAACCTGTGATCTTGTTTCAAGTTTGAGTGATGACTCTGAAACTTCAAGTTCTTGGTAAGATTATACTGCAACTTTATTTGACATTTTCTTAGTTTTTGATGCGCTCCCCTGTAATAGTCTACTATTCTATCAGGAAGTTACCAGAAAAGATGGCTCTGGGAGCATTATTGCTGGAATGCGAAAACTCAGAGTTCTGGGTTGCTTTGGGTTGTATGTCTAATAATTGTGCGTTGAAACTACATGCTTTAATCCGGGCATTGCATTTGGATGTATCTTTAGCCGTTGCTTGGGCTTTTATGGGCCAGGTATTGTATACAACATTTTTGTCTTTCTGGCTTTGTATTGGATGTCCTAGCTTTATCAGGGGTTGCATTCTTGCTTCACCTATGTGAATAATTTAAGTTATAGTTTCCCTCTTTTGCTTGTAATTTTGGTTGCATTAAACAGATCTTCAGGGAATCGAATGAAATGAAATTCGCAAAGCAGGCTTTTGATTGTGCTAGAAGCATTGATCCTACACTTGCGCTACCTTGGGCTGGCTCAGCTGATACTTATGCGAGGTAGATTCTTTTTATGTGAAAAGATAGTTCTCATGTTTTCAAACTACAATTTGGTCCCCATAGACTAATTCACGCCTCAGGGAGTCAACATCAGATGAGGCTTTTGAAAGTTGTTTACGAGCTGCTCAGATATCACCTGTAAGTTCTGCTTTAATTGTGGTTTACTTACGCGTAAGTCTGATGGTTTTAATTGAGGCGTGGTATCATTCTGTCCAGCTTGCAGAGTTCCAAGTTGGTCTGGCATGGCTTGCTTTGCTGCAGGAAAATATATCATCTCCGCAGGTATAAACACATATGTAATTCTAATATCTATGATCTACACAGGACTTCAAAAAAAAAAAATCCAAGTGAGTTAAGTAACTCCCGCTCTTGAAACTGTGCTGCAGATATTTGCTTGCATTGAGCAGGCAGTGCAGCGCACCCCTTATTACCCTGAGTCCCATAATCTACATGGGTTAGTTTGTGAGGCAAGGCATAATTATCACACTGCCATTGCTTCATATAGGCTAGCACTAGCTGCAATGCGCATTTACCCCGACAATTCAGTGAAATTTTATGCTGGAAAAGTATCTATGAATTTGGTCAGGTCACTCAGCAAGGTGAGAGGCCCACCCTTCTTGCCGTTAATATGTCTTTTAAAAGCAATTTTGAGATTGGATTTAATTCAATAATCAAATATAAATGCAAATATTGTACTCAATTAAAGTATTTTTGTAGGCAGGACGATTCAAAGAATCTGTTATGGAATGCGAAAATCTGAAGTCAAAAGGTTTGTACTTAGACTGGTCATCCCCAAGTTTGAAGACTGGGGTTTCATGCAAATTTTAGTCAAACGTTAATAAGTTTATTATCTAATCAAATTTTCCTAAAGGTTTGCTTGATGCCGGAAGTTTGCAAATATATGCTTTCTCTCTGTGGAAGATTGGTGAGAATGATTCAGCTCTCTCAGTAATTCGAGATCTGGCTAGTAGGATTTCTACCATGGAAAAGCCTTTAATAGCCTCCCCAATCAGTTTCATTTGTAGTCTGCTTTATTGCATATCTGGGGTAGATTCTGCTATAACCAGCATCCAGAAAATGCCAAAGGATTTCTTCCAGAGTTCAAAAATCAGCTTTATAGTATCTGCCATCCATTCTCTTGATCAGAGTGATAGACTTCTGTCGATTGTTGCAAGCACTCGTAGCTATATTACATCACAAGAAGAAATAGTTGCAATGCACTACTTGATAGCACTCAGCAAATTGGTGAGCCTTTTGATCTCGGTTATCATGTCGACCCATTCATTTTGGAATGCTGTATTTGTTTAAACTCCGGATATTGCAGCTAAAAACAGGAGCAGGAGATTTCCTTGGATTTGAGAAGGGGATTGCCCACCTCAGAAAAGCTATTCACATGTATCCTCATAGTAATTTGATAAGGTGGGTTTTGATCAGTGCTAGAGGTTACATAAACGCTAATCAAGCGCGCTAGGTTTTAATTGTGTAAAAAATATGTTGGTATTGTAATCATAACTCGGAAATGTAATTTGTTGGATTTAGGAACCTGCTTGGATATATTTTGTTAGCCGATGAAGGAATGAAAGATGTCTGTACTGCGAGTAGATGTTGTATCATAAATGTCTCTGACTGTGTAAATACGGAAGGTCTGAAGTCCGCATTGGAGGTCCTTGGAGGAGGATCGGTTGCTTGCAATGTAATTGGCAATACAGCTCCAAGGTTCTCATTTCCGACATGCCATTGTCAGCGTCTGAATGCTCCTGTTGTTGTTGGGGAACTGCAAAGGTATTCGAGAATTTTTCTACATCATTTTAGCATTTTCAAAGTATGAATTGATCAACTCTCAAAAGTGGTGTCTGGTCCTTTTGTCATCTACAACTCAGTTTTTGATACCTGTTACAGAACGTATATGTACGAAATATATTTTCACTATAACTATTTAATGATTGTTTTCCAATTCGCAGATTCTTGCATCAAGAACCTTGGAACAGCGGTGTAAGATACTTGCTTATTCTGAATCTCGTGCAGAAGGCACGTGAGCAGAGATTTCCTGGCCAACTTTGTAGTGCTATTGAGCGTCTAATCTCTGTGGCACTCTCTGATGAGACTTGTTCTAAGGAAGGCGAATATCAAAAGTTCCAGCTTCTGCTTTGTGCTTCTGAGATCAGTTTGCAGAAGGGAAATATAGCAGAGTCCATTGCCAATGCTCGAAAGGCATCTTCCCTTTCGCTTCCAAGTAGCTACCTATTTCTAGGACATTTGCAACTTTGCCGTGCTTATGCAGCAAAAGGGAGTACGAGAAACATTCAAGAGGAATACAGAGCGTGTTTGGAGCTAAAGACTGACTCAAATATTGGTTGGATTTGCCTGAAACTCATAGAATCTCAGTATGTTCTGGAACCTGATGCAAACTTCTTAGAAATGAGCCTACAAGAATGCTCGAGCCAGAAGAAGAATTCATGGAAAGAATGGATGGGTGTATACAGCTTCGCTCGTGGATTAGATTCTATCAGGAAAAAAGACTTTTTGTCAGCAGAGGAATTCCTTGCACAAGCTTGTTCGTTGTTAAATTCAGAGAGCTGTCTACTTCTCTGCCATGGTGCTGTCTGCATGGAACTGGCTAGACAGTCTAATGACTCACAATTCCTCTCACTGGCTGTAAAAAGTCTTAGCAAAGTTCAAGCAAGTTTGTTGATTCCTTTGCCTATCGTGTATACATTATTAGCTCAAGCACATGGGAGTCTTGGCTCTAAAGAGAAATGGGAGAAGAATCTTCGTCTTGAATGGTTCTGCTGGCCACCAGGTTAGACTGCAAATGTTCTAATCTTTATCATTCTTTTTCCACCACAACGTTGCGCCCAACTGAAAATGTTTCAAAAATTTTGGACAGAAATGAGACCTGCAGAGCTTTACTTCCAGATGCATATACTTGCAAGACAATCAGAAGACAGACCTGAAACCGCTTCAGGGATTGAAGTCTACCAAAGCCCTGAGAAATGGGTGACTAGGGCGATTCACACAGACCCTTCTTGTCTGAGATATTGGAAGGTCTTGGATAAGCTTGTTCAACATCCCACGAGCTGAGCATCAAAAATTAAAATCCAATCACAGAACAGAGCAGCTGGTATTCTGTTTTTTTTCTTTATATGATGCTTTTTTTTTGTTTTTTTTTGTCTTTTTGAGAATCCCTTGTATGATGCTTTGACATGTAATTTTCTGTGTAACACCAAATAGAAACACAACGAAATAGGATTCAATGATTCATGTACATTGAAACTGAAACGAGATGCATTTTTTTTATAACGAACTTTGATTTTTGGATAATATAAAACAAAAGTTTTTGGATATTGCTTGCAAAGGCTCTTATTTACACAGCAATCAAACAAAAACTATGTAAGACGAAACAAGAATGCTTAGAGCATCATGAGGGCAAACTCATCAAAGCTCAAAACTCCATCAGCATTGAGATCAAATGCTTGAATCATAACTCTGCAGTCATCAGTGGTTCTGGACTCACCTAGCTTCATTAGCATCATCTTCAAGCTTCCAGGGGTAATGCAATCTTCCCCTTCAGCAATGTACATTCTAAAAGCTTCCATTATCTTCCTCTTCTTCTCTTCTTCTGTGAATTCATCATTACCTCTGATAAGCTGAGCAAACTCATGAAGATCCAACATCCCATCTCCGTCAATATCAGAGAGTTTAACGGCAGCCTCGGCTTCTTCATCAGACATAGGCTCACCCAATGTCCTGAAACTCTTCTTAAGCTCCTCCGCAGAGATTCTACCATCTCTGTTTGCATCCATGTAAGCAAAAACAGCCTCTAAGTCTCTGTTCTTGTCGTCTAAGAATTTCATGAAAGATGCAGATAGCTGACGTTGAATATTCTTCATTATGAAAAGAGCAGAAAAAGAGTTGGCAGGTATTGTATGTATATACAACAAGTATGGTTCTTTCTTCTTGATTGTATGTATGAGTTTGAATGAGAAATGGTATAAAGTGTTTCTCTCTATATATAGTTGTGTTTCCAAGTCAAGAATAGTCATAAAGAAATAGAAATCGAAACGAATCAAACGTGGGGAGATTCAGATCTAAGTCTAAAAGAAAAAAAACAAATATAAAAATAGCCTTTCAGATCTAGAAGAAGTCGTTGTATTATTAAGATCTAGCTAGTAGCTAGGAGAAGGAAATATTAGTATATCAGTTACAGGGTCTCTCATATCCCCACATGTTTTAAACACGCTTTTTCTTCTTTCTCTTGAATTATAGGTAGTTGTATCAAGAATGGGTAAATATAAAATACTACTGCCATTTGTTTTTTTTTTTGTCTCACGTATCATATCTATCTATCAATGACAAGTATGGGACTTCATATCAATCAATGACAAGTATGGGACTTGTGTTTCTTATTTGGTTCTTGATTGATCTCTCTATTGTTTTTGTTTTCCTTTAAGCTCAGAGAAGTTGTTGGCACACAATGAAGACTCCAATGAATCAAATTCCATTTTTGTTGAAAGCTTCATTCATACCATGTATTTTCCCAAAATGTTTCAAACTTTTATGAATCCTAACTGTGTTGATTCAATACGAAGGTGTTACAAATCCTAGATGAATCAGATGAGACTTTACTTAAACTAATAATATAAGCACATCTTTCATAGTCAATATACTCAGAACCAATTAATCTTGAGTTAACATCCCAACTTATAACATAGTTTCGAAAATCTAACTAACATATTGCTTGCTCGATATGAATGGACCTGTTGGAAACTTTTTACTATAAAATAACTCTATTGGTAAGGGTAAGAGATTGATTGGTTGGTAGGGGAGATCTTATTAAGATTCCTCCATTGTTACCGTTACATGAATATCTGACAAAGGCTCATCTGGAATCTTGTTATTAACATATCATAATATATTAATTTTCATAAACAAGCTCTACTTTTGTCTTGAATTGTGAGCTGCAGGGAATAATATTATGACTATCAGCAGAGTAATCATCGTCAAACCTCAAATAGACTCTGTAGTATAGATTGACCCATTCCTGTGATAAAACATCCTTTCTATAGTATAACAAAGTTTCACACAGGGTCAAATAACAATCGTGTTTATTGAGTCACACAAGCCATTTAAAGTTTTATATATACAGTAGAAGATCAAATTAAAGAACAAAAAACTAAAGACAAAAAAAAAAAGAACAATATTGGGAGGTGAAATAGCTCTAATTTAATTAGCGCATCATAAGAGCAAACTCATCGAAGCTTAAAACTCCATCAGCATTGAGATCGAAAGCACTAATCATAACTTTGCAGTCATCAGTTGTTTTCGACTCTCCCAGCTTATTAAGCATAACTTTCAAGCTTCTTGGTGTGATACACTCTTCACCTTCTGATATATACATTCTAAACGCTTCCTTGAGCTCCATCTTCTTCTCTTCCTCTGTAAACTCGTCGTCTCTTTTGATAAGCTGAGCAAACTCCTCGAAATCCAACATCCCATCTCCGTCTGAATCAGATAGTTTGACCGCAGCTTCGGCTTCTTCATCAGAGAGTTGCTCACCCAGTGTCCTGAAACTCTTCTTAAGCTCCTCCGCAGAGATTCTACCGTCTCTGTTTGCATCCATGTAAGCAAAAACAGCCTCTAAGTCTCTGTTCTTGTCGTCATGAGCATTGCTACTGATATGCTGTTGTATCTCTCCTTCTCCGGCTGATGAGGCTTTCCTCTCCGGTGAAAGTTTCCGGCAGAACTTCTTGAAAGATGATTGAGGTTGAGTATTGTTACTCTTCATGAGAAATATATATGAAAAAGGTGTGTAGTTTTTTGTTTGTTTATGTTATGGAATTGGAAAGTGAATGATGAGAATATTAGGGAAAAAGGTTTGAATGGTATATATATAGAGAGAGAGGAGTGTGTCAAGTTGTGATAATTGTGTATCAGACGTGGGAGATTAGTGTTGTTATTAGATATTTTATGAATTGTGACAAAGTTTAACGAGTTATATTTATAATAGAGAGGTCCACCACCAATCCACCATGCATGTTGTTTGTTTAAAACACGCTTTTTTCTTCCTTTTTAATTGGACTAAGTAAGGAAAGGCCAAAGAGAAACAATAAAAATATGAAGACCGGCCACCTGTTTTTGCTACTTGCAGCATTGGTCACGACACTGAGATTTTATATCGGTGGGCGCTTGGAACCTTCACTTCCTTTTTTATTTTTGTCTTCTCTCTTATCTCTCTTTTTCTTAAGAAACAAGAAGAAGAAGAAGAAGAAGAAGAAGAAGAAGAAGAAGAAGAAGATAAATACATTTTGTGTTGACTTACGTGGAAGATAACGATTGATTGAAAAATGATTCAATCTTCACCAAACCGAGGCACTCTCTTATTTGCACATAGAATGGAAGACAACAGTTGCCAATATTTGTTTATTTATTTATTTATAAAAGTTTGATTTCTACTTCTTCTTATAGTTTTTTACTGATACAAATATTAGGTAAAAGTTTTCCGTGAAAGTGTAAAAGAATTTTATGTGCAAATATTTGTACTATTGGCTATATTATTAAAAAAATTTATTTCTACTATTGAAAATTTGATACAAAAACTAAAATGTAGTGCCTGAAATTGCAAAAGTCTTTGATTTTCGCAAAACTTAAAGTGCTCTTTAGTTCTTTCTTTCTATAATTAACTTTGTGTTTTAAGACTGCTAATTAGGGGTTAACGGTCAAAAACGGTCGCATATCCCTATTACAGTATCATTTAAGATTTTAAGGCAATGTTTCCTTAATTAAAGAATTAGTCGATACGATTGATTCTTTTAAACAAGATGAAACGCAACGTAGACAATCTAATATATAATCTGGCCCAATAATATTGACCCGGTCCAGCAACATTCTAGAAAACTAGAAACTCATCATCCTCATCATCATCATAATTAGACTACTTGTTTTTTTTTTTGTGTTCTAAACGTTTATCATTTCTAGAACATGTCAATGTTCCACAAATCTAATAATACTATTACGAACCGTAACATAAAACATAATATAAAACTTTAGTGTTCATACTTCATATAGAAATCGCGAACTATCTTAGCCTTAAGATAATTATATTAACAAGTTCGAGTCTGTAACATCTTTAAGTTGTTAACAACACAGTAATTGAAAAGATAAGAAGAGACTAACAAAGAAGCACAAACAGATTGGTGCAATTAGATAAAAGATTGGGTCTTTACAAAAAAGCCATGTCAAACTAAAAAAAAGCATTCACTTTCTCACCCTTGCTGCTCTCTCTTATATATAACATCATTCATTCATTTTCATTCTACTTAAAAACCATCTGTAATATTTTATATATATATCTATATATACTTAGAAAAACAAAAAAACTAGATTTCTTATCTCAAGAGTTAACATCACAAGATCACATTTCAGAACTTAGAAGGACCTTTTTAACAACAGAGCTGGCTTTGTTCTTCTTGTCTTTGATCAGCCTATCCTGTGTCTGTTCTCTCTCCCTTCTCTTAAGCTTCTTCCTCTTCGGTATTCTATCTCTGCATCTGAGCTCGATATGGGATAGCTTCTGTTTCCTTTTACTGAACCCACTCGAGATAATAGAGCCTCTTCATCCGCGTGGATGCGCTTGTTTCTTTGTTTGTGCTCTGAGCCACACAATATGACACACGCATTAGCACACAATGAAAAGTTTAACTCATTGGTATTTTCTCTGCAAGGGTGATTAAAGATTTAATGCGACAGTACTCACCTTTGTAGCCATTGGATGCCTTCGGTGAATGGAAGTCTACAGCTTGTGAATCAAGATCAGCTTCTGATTTGGGGCTTGTTTGACTCAGCAAATTTACTTCTCTTCTCAGCAGCTTTTGTCCATCGCTTGGAGAGTATGTCGATTTGCTAAAAGAATCATCCATCACATCAGTGATCTCTACATACTGACTAGTTGTGATGATTTCATCTGCACTAAACCCAAAAGAAGCTCTGTAAGCTTCCAACTCCTCCATGTCTTGCTTGGGACTTCTGTTCTGCCTATTCTGGTTCCCGTTTCCATATCCATTTGTAGGATACACATCTGAATCCTTCGACACGCTTAATCTTCCACCGTTTTGAGGAACCGAAGGGTCGTGATCCAGGTAAAACTTGGCAAAAGTTGCAGGACAGAAAAAGTTTGACTCCTGCAAAGGCGTTGAGACACCATTTGTGTCATACCCAAAGGTGTTGCCAGAATCACTCCTTGAGCACTTACCATTTTGAGGCGACAATAACCCATCTCCCGAAGCCCGAGAGATTGGTGATCTAAGAGCGCTGGCTGGACTTCCGGGATAAAGAGAATATGTAGCTTGGAGATCACTTGAAACATTGTAATGGCCTTTACCAGAGTTCTTGAGATCCATGGAGGACGTCAAGAAACGGGCGTAAGGCACATCAGGTGAAGAAGGAGCAGTCAGACGTGCAAGCTCTGGAGGAGGTGTGAAAGGAGCGGTTGATGGCTCGGTGGTGAATGTAGAGAAAACAGGGGGGGAGACCAACTGGGTTTCATGAGCATATGGTCCAGTGGCATACATACTTGATGAAGGACCTCCAGGTGAGTTAGCAGCCAGCGATAAGTAACAGTTTGGTGACTGAGCGGTTGAAGGAAGAGCAGAATTGGTGAAGGAAGCAGGAGAGGATGGTGGAGCCAGAAGTGATAGATTAATTCCTCCCGTAGCTTGATTATTCAAGACACCAGCTTGATGAGCCCCATTAGGTTGTGAGGCTGAGACATTACCGCCTTCTGGAATGCGAGATGCAGGCACAATTCGTTTACCGCCTTTTTGTGACTTGAAGCAAGAGAACACTCCTAAACAGCCTCCCCACCTTTTCCTCTGTAAAAGGACACACACGCACACACATAAGGTCAATGAGCTTAATTGGAGTAAACACATGTAAAAGAGATCTGGAAAGTAAGAAGATAATTGCCATATAGTGAATCAAGTGTTTCTACAAAACCATGAAATGATTATGGATCTTAAGGATACTCTCTCAGAAAAACCATAATCTTACAAGCTTACACGCATCGAATCTAGATCACAAGCCCTAAAAGCTTGGATTATTAAAAATCTAATTGAACGAGAAACTTCAATCAATTTCTCAATTACCACTTGTTGCAAAAACAATCCTAGTAACACAGGGGTTTTCACAACAGAATGATCAGAGGGGAGACTCAACATAAAACCCTAAAGAACATTGCTTGCTTCATCAAGTGAAAAAACAAAAAGCAGATCAGTGTGAACAGAGTTGGATAGTCAGATCTAAGTAGCAAGAGGGAAAAAAAAGGAACTTTCCCAAAACGAAAGCTTTAAAATCTGAACAACTTAAATTAGAGACAGAGTGAGCTAAAACCTCAACAAACACGAATTCAAAAAGAACATAAGAGAGAAATGAACAGAAACCTGTTCCTGCTGAGGAAATCTATGCTGCTCTGAGCCCATTAGGTGTCTCTGTTCGTCAAGAAAAATCACTGAGAGTTGTTTTTTTTACTTGTGAGTTTTGGGTTTTTCTCAGGTAAAAGACGTAATCATCTGGGGTTTGCTCCAAATTTTTATCACAATCTACCCTCTTCTCAACCTCACTGATACGATCCAGAGGGAAAAAAGAAAAGAAGGGTGAAAAAGATTAAAGCTTTGGGAAAGAAAGACAAAGTTGATAAATTTAGAATTTCAGAGGAGTGAGAGAGATTAAGAAAACAAAAAAAATGGGAAAATTTGAGAAGAGAAGAGTAAAAAAGGAAATCTGCACTGATGCAATCGGCATGAAAAGATGATCCCTTACGAAGAGAAAAGCATTTCTATTTTAATCAAGAATGTGACTTACCCCAAAGAAAGAGAAAAGAAAAAACAAAACACCACAATACACACACAAAAAAAGCTCAAGCAACAACCAAAAAACTAAAAAAAAAAAAAGAAAAAAAAAAAGAAAGGAAAAGTAAAAGAGAAAAAGGAAAAAAGAAGTCTGTTAATAATGTAAAACCTCTTCGGTATTCACACTTTTCGAAATAGCAAAAGAAAGAAAAGAAAAGTTTATATGAGTTTTGGAAATATAATTGGTACCTTATTTTGGGAAAAATAATAAGGTTTAACCAATGTGCTTAAGTCGGTCATTACTACTAATTAGACATCTAAACTAAACCCTTAAAAAGGTTGATTCCATGAGGCACGTGAAGGACGTTTACTACTAATAAAAGAGGGTTAAGGAACATGTAAAAGTCAAAATTTATAGTATTTGCTTTTTTGGGTTTTGGTCTAAAAAAACACGTCCAAAATCATCTACTGCTATTATGTCAAGAGACCATTGAAAATTAAATATTAAATGCTATAATACTTATCAAGAACAACATGATTGTTGTGATTACTTTGGCTTTGGAAGTTGCACAAAAAAATTAAAGAAATATATGAAGATTAGTGACCAAAATTTTCTAATTTTCTCTTAAATAATTGATCATAATTTTGGCAATAGAAGGGATTAAAAGGAATAGAAAGAGTGATTAATAATACTGGTTAGATATATATATATATATATATATATATATATATATATTAATATGAATTGTCAATATAGGTTTTGAGGGTACCAATAAAGACAATAAAGCAGAGGAAAAAGAGGGCCTAGTAATAGTATGGTACCTAGTTGTAGCATTTTGCATCTTTTTTGGGCTCTGCTTTATCATTTTTGTGGGTCCTTTTCTTTCCATCAGTAAATCATTTTTATTTATTTTTACTACATAACAATCTCAGTAAATAAAATTATTTTCATCCCCAATCCAATCATAAAAACTACTTTGTATTTTACAAAAGATTATTTACAGCAGCTCTTTTTGTTTTTAATCATTACTTATATAGCCTTTAAACCACATCACATGTACTTTCTTGTTTTTTTTTTTTTTAAACACACATCACATGTCCTGACTCATGAACCTGAGTTACATATATGCTCGTTTCCACAAAACTTATTACATTTGGAAACACTGGTCATTGTTAAGAGTTTTTTTATTTTATGCCATTGAATCATTCACATAATACCAAAAAAAAATATCTGTTTCGGTAAATTCATATGATAGTGTATAAAAATGAATAAACTCACATGGTTTCAGTTGACGTTTATGTATTACTTACTATATTGAATAGAATGAACACTCACTATTTAAGATGGGTCTTGTACATAAGCAAAGAAGGGTTTAAGGGCTTTCTAAAGGCCCAACACGATCTAACGTGGAAAGAACAAGTACTGTAAATGGCACACAAAGGAAATATTTGTATAAAGAATTCAAAATCAGTTTCGACGTGTAATTTGATAAGCGCACACACTTTTACGGTTTAGTGTCACCGAGCTCAACGTCTTTCAAGTCGATATGCTCAACTCCTTCTTTCAGTAGCTTTATCTCATCTTCTGTCATACTGTTTTTGCCGTGTGGCGTTGACTTTGCGTTTCTCTGTTTCTCTATATCAACCGCCCAACTGTAGATCACCATTCCAACAATTGCTATGGCCATCCCGGCTATGTTCTTGAATGTCATCTCGGAATCAAAGAGAAGCCATCCTAATGTGAGTACGCAGACTGTTTTCATGTGCCCTAGAACTTGGAAGGATGTAGCTGAGAATCTTCCGATGCAGAGATATTGGCTTATGTTACAGAAAACAGCTAATGCACAGGAGAGAAGAATGCAAAACTGCAAGATCGGGGAGATAGAGTAAGGATTTTGTGTTTACGTTTGAGTCATCTAGATCTTAGAGAAGTTGAGAATGTTACTTACGATGGCACCGTAAGTCATCTTGTAAGTAGATATGAATTTGCCGCTCAAGACATAGTCAACAAAGGGGCCAAAGATGAGAAGTGAAATGGCTTGGATTGGGGCTGTTTTGCTCAGCAATTCAAAAGATCCTACTGAGTACTTCTTCTGCAGAGAACCTATTGACTGTTGCCAAAATATAAAGTGAAAAATTTATCAGCCAAACAATTGCCTAAATGCCTTTTCAGGATTCCAGCAAGCACCAGAGAACTGTGTCTCCCAGATTAGCTTTTGAATTCAGATCTGGGAGGCCAAACATACAGATTAGACATAAATCGAGATCAAAGGGACAAATGGTTCCCCTCCAGATCCAAGAAAAGTTTGAGCCTTTGTGTTTCAAGAACGAAAGAGATCAAAGCAGGCAAGCGAAGCAAAAACAGATCTAATATAAAGAAAGGGATGGTGAGATCAAATCTTACAATCTGTTGCAGAGATGTGGAGAAAACGGCAGTGCATGCACAAATGAAACCTTTGGCATTAACTTTGACATCAGTCACTGTACAGATCCCAACACCAATAACCACAACCATTACAGAAGCTTTCACTTCTTTACAGTAATGCTTGCTATGTATAATCCATTCCAAGACACATACCACCGGAATCATGCTCAATTTCGAAATCTAGATGACAAAAACGAAATCAAATAACAGAGGAAATTAAAACAAAGATCTTTAAACCGAGTAAGAACAGTAGAGTCAAAAATCCAGAAGAAAATTACTTGGTAGAAGCCAACAGAGTTGAGCATAAGACTGAAGTTCATAGCAGCAATGGAGACGTTAGCTACAATTGAGAACCAGAGAAGCTCCCAAAGAGGAACATGCTTAGATGCTGATAGTCCTGTGGCGTTCGAGACCATGCCAACAAGTGCAGTGAAGGCAAAGTGAAACCCCGTAAGAGTTGTAGCTGCGGAATTAAAAAATTATCAGATTCGTGAAGTGTGAAGCTAAAATGGGAGAGATAGATCAAGCATCAGGAATGAGAGAGACATACCAAAGCCAAATCCGAAACCAGAGGAGGACATGAGCTGTTTATTAGCCATGATGATTCCGACGGAGCTGACTACATTCATAGCCCATGCACCGACGTCAGACACCGGCGATTTCTTCTCGCTCTCGGGTTTCTCCATCTCTGAACTAATTTTGGATTTGAAACTCAGCTCGAATTTTGCTAGAAAAATTGAACACCGACACAATCAGATCCGGAGATCTCGATTTGATTCAAAACCTAAGTGCAAGCGAAAACGAGATCTGAATCCCGATTCGCCTGCAGATTTCGAGTGAATCAAACACGGAAGAGATGAGATCTGGGGGAAACAAAACTCGATTCACGCTGTGGAAGCGGCGAAGAAAAGCCTAGAAAGCGTAAACACACACAAACACGTCACTCTCTCTCTCTCTCTCTCACTAATCACTCTAATGGTTCAGTGCTTCACTCACCGTCGCTGGATATATATCTCACAACTCACAAGCAAGCTTCTTCCACCACCATTGATCCTTTGCTTGGATTTGTATAAATTCTTTATGAGCGATTTTCGAAATATTATTTTTTTATATATAAATCAGAATCATTTAATTTTTATAATCATTCATTGACGCGTGTCGTTTACCATATTTGACCTTCTTTATTTCTCTTTTGGTCCACTTGTTATTATTTCAGGATGAATTCTATTTAAGGATACTTTTGTCTTTTCACACCTCTTGGTAACGTCGTGCTTTTAGTTTTATAAATCAAACTTCACCGCAGATTTATCAACGTCTATAAACAGTACTTGCGTCTTAAATTAAGCCCACAAGGGATAACAGCGAAAGATTAACGGTAATTACATACATACTTAGTTAGAACTATGATTTCATATATCGAGAATTCGAGATGGGTAAATAATAATACATTGGTTAAGATTTTCTAACATTGTTTTTGAAAATCTAAATTGCAAAAAAAAACAATATAACATCAACGGCTAGGAATTGTTAAGCTTTCACACATTTTATAATAATCACAAGTAGCCATTGGTCATATTCACACCGTCACACTCAAGCCAAACATTTGGAAACGAAATTATTGAAGTTTGTCCTTTGTTCCAGCTATTATTATTTACTTGATTACAGTAGTTATCATTTATATACACAACGAAAAAGAATCCATTAGCACAGCAAAAAATATGGCTTTTGTATTTGTGTGTTAAAGAAATAGTTTAAGAAATAATTAAGGATGGGTCTTTTAAGAGGACAAAACCTGCACAACTTAGCCTGTGCACAAATAGTAATGAGAACACATGATCTCCAACACATTTGTCACAAAAGAGCTTTTTTCTTTCATGTGCTTTCAACATCAATCATTGTCATATAACAAGCCCAAAATTTACATTAATCTCCCCCACATAATAAGTTTTTACATAATGGAAGTATGGAACACACATTAAGGGTTTAGAATCAACAAGAAACACTTTGGCATTGTGCAAAAGACATTAATAAATCCAAAACTTAACCCTCATTTTTCCTTGTATTTTTCTTATGCCAATATATCAAGTAAAGCTGTCCTATGTACCTAATTTGCATTAGATGAGAGGATGAACAAAAAAAACAAGCAAGGACCGAACACTTTTGCACCGAGAAGATGACGACTCATGAGTCATGTCACATGACAAAGAGACTAACAGTGGGCTGAGATCCCCGACTCTTCTAACCCACATGCATAATAAGCTTGGCGTTGTGCTATATCACTCAGCACTTAATAGGCCACGACTTAGCCCAACAAGTCTAGGAATTGAAAAACTTGGCTGATAACATAAACTTAAGGCCCAAATACGATTCCAAAAATGGACAATTATTAAGAGCTCTATCACTTTCAAACTGTTGCGGCTGTTGTTGATAAAAGCAGCCTTGGTCCTCAAACTAGTCAAGCAAGGTGGCTACGACTACACATACACCCAAAATGGTGGGTTTCTCATTTCTGTTTGATGTAATAATGCCGCAAGTCTGCGTGTGTCTTATGTGTCTTTTAATCTTTCATTGGAGTCTCATTTCACATTCTTCTGATTCTTTCCTTATTTACTATGTTCCGCATACCAAAACAGAGCATATTTCAACAAATCTACCTAATATTTTTTTTTGTCGGCGGTCAATATCTCGTAATGTCAAAACCTAAAAAATAAATAAAGACGTGACTAAAATCATAAGAGGCCCCATTTGTTATGTTCTGTGTATTCTGTAAGCTCAAGAAAGTCGAATCCGAACTGTATGAAGGAAGAAAGAAAAGAATATAAATATGGGGTTAAGTTTAAAGTGGTTTCAGCTCTAAATGTCGTCAATGCATACGTCATCATGAAGAAATAAATGATATGCCAAGTGGATGAGTTTAGGAGGTCCACACATGCGTCCTCAATGACGTCCACCGCGACGAAACAAACACTTGCTTTCCTAATTCTCTTTTGATCAGTCAATGTGTATATATAGATGTGCGAGATGAATCCATTATCCTCCACAATCCAAGGAAACAAACTTTGTAAGTGTTTTTTTGAAAGAAATCAACAAAATCCGAATTCATGGAAATGGAAAACGCTGTAGCGAAACAGAGTGTACCTCTTCTCACTCCCTATAAGATGGGAAGATTCAATCTTTCTCATAGGTAAATAATTTTTTTAACTTGTATCTTTACTTTTTGTCGTTTTGATGACTTGTGCTAGCTGAGTCCTTAAAATGGAGAAGCTTGATGATTCGTTTTGTGTAATTTATACAGGGTTGTTCTGGCACCATTGACGAGACAGAGATCGTACGGTAACGTTCCTCAGCCTCACGCTGCTATTTATTACTCTCAGAGAACGACTCCAGGAGGTTTTCTCATCACTGAAGCTACCGGAGTTTCAGATACTGCTCAAGGGTAACTCAAAAGTTTCTTCCTTTTTTTGATTAAAGTTTACTTTGCAGTTTTTTTTTTTTTGTGTGTGTGTCTGATTGTACCACATTTGTGTGATTTGATCTTCAAGATATCAAGATACTCCTGGGATATGGACTAAAGAGCATGTGGAGGCATGGAAGCCAATCGTGGATGCTGTTCATGCCAAAGGTGGTGTCTTCTTCTGTCAGATCTGGCATGTTGGCCGTGTTTCTAATCGTGGGTTTCAGCCAAATGGACAAGCTCCTATCTCTTGCTCGGATAAGCCACTGATGCCTCAAATCCGCTCTAATGGCATCGACGAAGCCATGTTTACCCCTCCAAGACGGCTGAGCATCGAAGAAATCCCCGGCATTGTCAACGATTTCAGGCTTGCAGCAAGAAATGCTATGGAAGCTGGTAAGCAAATCCGGATTGAGAATTCAAGAAGCTGTAATGATTCAAGATTCTTATATGTGTTGTTGTCCTTTGAATGTTGTTTGTTGCAGGCTTTGATGGAGTTGAGATTCATGGAGCTAATGGCTATTTGATTGACCAGTTCATGAAGGATACAGTGAATGATAGGACTGATGAGTACGGTGGATCATTGGAAAAACGTTGCAAATTTGCTTTAGAAATAGTTGATGCAGTGGCCAAGGAGATCGGACCAGACCGTGTTGGTATTAGGCTCTCTCCATTTGCTGACTACATGGAATCCGCAGACACTAATCCAGGAGCATTGGGGCTTTACATGGCGGAATCTCTCAACAAATACGGTATCCTCTACTGTCATGTGATTGAGGCCAGAATGAAAACAATGGGAGAAGTACATGCATGTCCTCACACGTTAATGCCGATGAGGAAAGCCTTTAAGGGGACTTTCATATCTGCTGGAGGTTTCACTAGGGAAGACGGGAATGAAGCCGTGTCAAAGGGAAGAACCGATCTCGTGGCTTATGGTCGATGGTTTCTGGCCAACCCTGATCTGCCAAAGAGGTTTCAAGTGGATGCACCGCTCAATAAATACGATAGACCAACGTTTTACACTTCCGATCCTGTCGTGGGTTACACAGATTACCCTTTTCTCGAATCAACAGCTTAGAATTGTTATCAACAATGTTGTGTGCTTCCTCTTTTTCTTGTAATAAGTTTCTGGCATTTCTTTATGCTTGAAGTCATTATAGCTTTACAATAATTTTCACGGCCACTTATCACAGAAGAGCTTTCATATGTGCTTTCAACATCAATATGCTAAGACTGATCCCACCTGTTTCAATCATACTCAGTAAAAGAGTGGTTCTAGTCATGGGAATACGATCCCACCTGATACCTGAGGACCAGAGGTACAGTGAGATGCTTCATTGGATTTTGGTGATGTAGTGGTCTCACCATTCTGGTCCCAGTACTCCCATCCATTTGCTAAAGGATCACTCTCACTAGCTGCTTTGGCTCTCTGTATGAGCCAAAAGTTAAAATCCTCTGATTAGTCTTTTCTTTCTTAATTCCAAAATCACATTTGAACAAATATGCGCCAGACTATAAAAAGTTACATTTTGAAAAGAAGACTAACATTGAGATCTCTGACTTCCCACAAGCATCATAAGCTTGGCGTTGTCCAGAATCACTTAACACTTGATAGGCGTCTCCTAACACCTGAATATGTAGTTACATTTTGAAATTATTCTATCCAAAACATCCAAGTTGGGAGATAGTTATAGAAAGAGAATACAACGCAAGACATTTTTCACGACACATCTCCACAAGGCGTATGAACCACACATAGAATAAATCTCCAATTTGTATTCTTGGATTTCTAAATCATGAACTTATCTTGCAGTGAGGAATTGGTTATCTACCTCATACAATAATCAGAGAATAAGATAAAAACTACGATTCCAAAGCAAACTTGCAAGAAAATTTGGTACTTATGATTGCAGAAGCATCCTACATGTATAGTTTAGCCAAAAACATTCTTTTGTCTTAGTTCTTTGATAAATGTTTTGATTAATAAGCAAGAAGATGAATCTCTTGTTCTGCAGCAGACACGACATAACAAGGCCTGTGAGTAGACATTTGAATGTTCAGGGAATCTTGAAGAATTTCTTCAGTTTCGCAAGGAGTTTCCATTTCTCTTTCGACATTTCATCCTGCAATTGTTTTTTTTTTTTCCGCAGTCAGAATGATGATGATGATTATAGAAAACGCAGAAGGGGAAATAACTTATCTTATCTTCCACTTACCTTGTAGCTACTTTTGAGTATGTCGATAGATCTCCTCGAAATGTGACTCACAAGCTCATCATCCTTGTCAAAGTGCCTTCCAAACGTCTTCTGTTCTTCACGATTTGAAGCAACAATCTGTTATACCACCAGAGAAAAGCATCTTCATTAAAAGGTGAATGCATCAAGTTAAAGAAACTTGTGCAACCATAACTGTTTTGTCTCTCTCTGTAAACAAAAGTTGTTGAAGGGAACAGTCCCCCATTCTTACCTTAATCGCCACCTCACTGCCCTTCTCTGCATACTCAACAGGGTTGTGGTTGTTCTCAATAGAGGCAATGCGGCCAATATCTATGAACTCTCTGCTGGGGACGCAAAGAGGGGTTCCGATCTTAAAACCAAGAAAGAATGTTAAAAAGAATGAGAATCCTCCAATGACTTGTATGTGCAAGTTACCGAGAGAATATAGAAGAGTAAGAATAGGATACCTTAAGTATACCTTCGACGACCTTAACTCCAAGGATTATGGGGTCTTTCTTATTGAACTCGCGTAAAATTTTAAGGACACATGGGAAGACTGCTTCATCGGCTAATTCCTTCTTTTTTTCCTCTCTAATATTCTCAATGTAAGCCTTAAATTGATCAAATAGATGATAAATGATATCAGCGCAGAAGATTTTAACTCCCATTTCGTCAGCAACCACACGAGCCTCTGTAGTCACTTTCACGTCAAAAGCCAAAATCGTAGCAAACTCCTTTCTCCTCTCGAGCATAACTCCAGCCTTCATTATATCTTTCTTATGCACAGGTCCCATCCCAATACCACTGACAGGTATTTTTACATCTGGGGACTCCAAGAATTCAAGCAATGCTTCTAATGACCCTAATGTAGAGGCTTGAATACAGACTCCTTCACCACCTTTGTCAATCCTGCTCAAAATTGACTCCATGTCTTCCATAGCCAACTCCTTAATTGCATCCATGTCATCATCAGGTCCAACCACATGCAGGGAAGTACCAGCAACTGCGTGTTCAAGTCCCTGGGCAGTAATCTTGATGCCCCGTGCAGCCTTTATTTCTTTGTGATGCAGATATGTACCCTTCACCCTTGATTCCTTCATTGGATGAGGAGTCAGTAATGCTCTAATCGTTGTGACTATAGGTCCCTGAAATTTGAGGAAGAAAATAATCATTTTTCTAAGTTCTTTATGTATACACGGTGCGATCACTTGTTTGGGTTTGGATCATATGTTTTTTACTTGCCTGTAATCCACAAACAACGATTTGATCACCTTCATGGAGTTCACCATTTACCAACACAACATCAATAGTTGTACCATGGCCTTCAATAACTTTGACCTCAAGGACAGTACACTGTTTAACAATTTCAAGAAACGATCCAGAAATGTCATGCTTACGTATTGCAGAAACATGTGTTACCTAGAAAAGAAAGAAGAGATACCTGCACTTCTTTAACATAAGTAAGTTTGTCAACCATTGTATTCTGAGCCCACTGAACCAACCACAGCAAGAGATCTGGGATCCCTTCCCCACTGAAATATCAAGAACCAAAGTTATCCAAATATATCTAAGGAAGGACAACTTGCCTGTTACGCTGAAAACTACATTCAATAAACAGAGATTCATACCTAAGAGCACTAGTAGGAACAATACTGACTGTGTCTTCCATTTCTTTATTCTTGTAATAAAGCTCAGTGTTGAGTCCTTGCTCCTGGAACTGGTTTTTAATCTGGAATACCAATGAAACAACATAATTTGAACAATATATACAAAAAGTGATGTACATAAGAATCTCTAGACGTATAACTCACCCCTGTCAGCCTCCTGTTAAATTCATTTTTAACATCTTTACTTTGTTCCCTCATTGCCTTCAAGATGGGATAATTCTTGCATTTTTTCCATCCATATAGCTTATCCACCTGGAAGTTTACTATTTTATTTCCCACACACAAACTAAAAACAGAGAACAAAAACACCCATCAAAATATAATGACACGCTGTCTCACCTTATTCAATGCAACAATGAACTTTGTATCTCTCATTCTCAAAAGATTTAGAGACTCTATGGTTTGCGGCTGTAACTCATGCGTTATGTCAACAGCCAAAATGGCAAGGTCACACAAACTTGAACCTCTTGACCGCAGATTCGAGAAGGACTCATGCCCCGGTGTATCGATAACCAATAGACCTGGCACCTTAAGTTTTGCATCGGCTTTCAATTCCCTGGTCCTATCTAGGATGTTTTTGTCAGGGATATATGTTGCACCAATCTGCTGAGTAATACCTCCAGCCTCACCTTCCTGTACATTGGTTCCTCTGATGCAATCCAACAGCTTTGTTTTACCAGTATCGACATGACCCATTATACAGCAAATAATAGAACGGAGAATGTCTCCACCTTCTTCAGTAAATTCACCCGGAGCTAAGCCTTTACCCTTCTTAGCACGTTTTGTCTGGGAAGCATCTTCCACTGCTGGTTTAGCTGTTGGTTTTTCAGTTTCGTAGTCTGTAAAAATTCAAAAAAAAAGTAGAGTAAAAACAGACATTGGATAACACAGGCTGAGCTTCTTCCTCTTCAAAGAACAGGCAGAAGAACAAAGAACTACATTTCATACTAACCTGAATTATGGGCCTTTGATACAGCATCCTTTATTTTTTTCTTAACCACAGGCTGAGCTTCTTCCTCTTCAAAATCATCTTTGATGTTAAGATCAACATTATCCAAAATTTTTGTATCCCATTCATCTTCTTCATCAGCTTCCTTGATCCCATTCTCCTGAGCAGGTTCTGATTTTTCGTCTGTGTTTGCTGACTCTGTTAAATTAACCATTTCACCTGAAGGAACTGGTTCATCTGCATGATTCTCTTTTGGCTTTACCTCATCTTCCACCTGACCAGAACTTTCCTTGCCTTTCTGGCGAGATAATTTTTTCTTGTTGGCATAAATGGGACGCTTTGAGGAAGTAGCCTCACCATCATTATCTGCAACAGGAAGACCTCCAGGAGCAGCCAGGAACTGATTCTTAAAAGCCTCCCTCTTGTGCGCTTCGATCTTTTGCTTTGCTGTTAGAAGCTTGCCCTCTTGCTTCTTCCTCAACAGTTTCTCCTTTTCCTTTTCCTTTCTCTTCCGCTTAGCTTCCTCAGCTTGTGCCTCAAGCTCTTCCTGCCTGAGGCGTTCCTCTTCCTCCTTTCTCAATTTCTCTTCTTCTTCCTTCTTTTTTCGCTCTTCGGCTTCTTGCCTCCGTGCAAGAGCCTCTTGCATCTCTCGAACATGTTTGGGAATTTTCTTCTCTGCTGCTTTACCCTTTGCATCCTTCTTCTTTGGCTGTTGTGGCTCAGTCATTGATTCTTCTTGTTTTTCCTCCTTAGCATCTAGAGAAGAGGCTGCTGCTTTTTTTTCCTTGTCTTTCTCCTTCTTCTTTTTCTTTTTCTTCGCTGCAGCACTTTCAGCAACAGTCTCTTCTTCTCCTTCCTTCTCACCAGCATTCTCTATTGGTGCAACTGGCTTCGGCTGATCTTGAACTTTCTCTTTTTGGCTAGCAGCAGGGGTTCCTCCAAGTTCTGCAAGAAGTTTGTCCAAATCTTCCTCTTCCTCTACTGTCCTTCCACTCTTATTATTCTTCTTTTTTTTCTTACTCTTTCCAGTTTCTACAACCCCTAAACTCTCAGTAACAGGAGTTTTAGCTTGACTAGTTTCGTCTGCAACTGAATCATCACCTAGTGAGGTCAAGATACCGCTGCCCTTCTTTTTCGAAGATTTTTTCTTACCTGAAAACGTGATTTCGATTTCGCCGGGTCCAGAGGTTGAAGCATCTGTCCCTTGGTCATCTCCACCAAGGGCATCAAAAGCTGAAAAAGCAAAGCCTTTTTTACCCTTGTTAGAAGCATGCTTCTTACTTGTAAAGCTTATAGCTGGCTCATCATCCGCTGCCTCCTTGTCGTCAGCAAGCAGGGCAAAGTTAACAGAGACATCGCCCTTCTTACCTTTAGAGTTCCTCTTCCCTACAAAAGCATTCTCCGGAACAACCTCAAACTTATCAACATCGTCATGCTTTGTATTACCTTTCTTATTACCCTTCTTCTTCTTCTTCCCAGTAATAACAACTTTCTCTTCCTCCTCAACCCTAGGCTCCATTGGTCAATCAGTTTGCAGGATATTGAATCGTTTGTGATGACTCTTTTTATATGCCACTTCTGTATCCGACTGGGCCTCAATCTCATGCATCTTTTCATTATTTTAATTATATACTATGTTTTAATTAAAAAATCTACCCTTCATTAATTTTTCTAAACTTATTTATAATCCTATATCACGCTCGATCTGGTATGTGGTAAAATCATTCAAAAGCTAGGATTAGTCATTATCATAAACTCAAAATAATTTAATTTTTTTAAAAAAATCAAAAATAATTTGAAATGATTTTATAAAACAACTCATAGTTAAAACTATAATCCAAACTGTTTCCAACATATCAAATTATTATGATTTTATCTTTATTTTTTTAATATATTACCTTACTTTGTAAAATATTGAATATTAGTAAATTATAATATCTTGTTTTAAAAATATAAAGCATATTCAAATCTCAACCTAAACACAAATTACACTATTTAGCTATAAAGTTTAAATTTTCAACTTATAATCGGTGTAAAAACCACATTAAAGGTATCAATGTACCATTAATTAAAGACCTTTTTATTTGCTTTCAACATTAATCATTTTCTTCTAACAAATCTCAAATTCACATTATATCCCCCAAGACCAAAGAAAGAAACAACAAAAAAAATTTACATATAAGGCACACAACTGCAACATGCCAACATCAGTATGCTAAGACTGCATGGTGTAAATATATATTATACAAAAGGGTTTTGTATAAGCAAGAAACCGCTACAGGGATACCTCCAATCTCACCTGCATCAATCATAGCCAGTCGAGGAGTGTTTCCCTGCGCCAGGAGGTGGTGCTGGTCGCGGGAAGTAGTAGTTGTATTTTTCATCTCCAACTTTGATTTCTTCTACATAGGGGCTTTGTGGTTCCTAAGATTACCAAACAAGAAAACAGCTTACATTCGATTTGAACTGTTTAAAGACTGTGACTGATTCACGGTGTTTCTACTTAACACACAAGCATGAGTGTTATGTCTTTCTCACACAACTCAGATAAGAAGATTTGTCCATTGTGGACGATTTACTAAACACACAAGCATGAGTATTATGTCTATCTTACACAATTCAGATAAGAAGATTTGTCCATTGTTGAAGATAGAGAGATGTGAGTTTGGTGAAATGGAAAGATCAAATATAAGCAAAAGGTTCATGTGAAATAATACCTGAGGACCAGAGGTGGAGTGAGATGCTTCACTATATTTTGGCGATGTAGAGGTATCATCATCGTGGTTCTTTCCATTTCCATTTAATTTTTGAGGTTCATTATTTGCTATATGCTCACTCTCGTTAGCTGTTTTTGCTCTCTGTAAGAATTGAAAGTTAAATGCTTTAGTTTTTTAAATTTTAATTCCCAAATCACATTCGAACAAATACCCGTCAGACTATAAGAAGGAAATGAAACAAATGGAAAAGAAGCCAGATTTTACCTGGAAGATCCTCCCCAGAGTTTTTAACCCTCTTGCTCTTGTACGAAGCTCTTCTCTTTTGGCTTCTGGATCTTGAAGAACCTAGACAAAGAACCATAAATAAGTTTATCAAACCAGACAAATTACACAAAGAGGTCAGATGTGAACATGAGCACTGGTTAAGCTAAACAACCAGTTGACAAACACGACAAAGAGTGGCTTCGATATCAGCAACGTTGAGCTTCCACAGTGAATCAATCATCACTCTTTTATGGGTCTGAAGGTATTCCTCAAGTTCCTCCTCAGTATAATTACCTTCAGTGTTTAGCTGCCTTTTCATTTCCTCCTGCAACTGGAACAAAGCATACGCACCTAGGATGACAATAAACAGCCAGAAATAGAAAACCAAATCACTACATGTTTTGCTTCCTAAGAGAGAAGACCAGATTCTAGAAACCTAACAACGAACGTTCTTGATTAGTTTCTTCTTGGATCTAACCTGTTGCAGCTGTTAACTGGGATTTGATGAAGTGACCTTTGTTCCTAAACCATTCAGCAACGAACGGTACTCCGAGATAAATAGCTTTCTTCCCTAGCTCTTTTGCTGCTTGTCTTACATATATATACCCAATCGTATTCAACATATCCACACCATAAGCTGAAGAAGATTCAAATAGCAGGGGCATGACTCACTTTAATACAGAGATGGTATTAATTAAAAGAAAAAGCAAAACTACAGAACAGGGAACACTCTACAGAACATACTACCTGCATTTGAGAGTCTAGCTACTTCAGCTTCAGCTTTACTGACAAATTCATCTTTGTTTATCACATATTCGTTGAGTCGATCTTTGAGAACCTCAGAAAGTTTATCTTCTCTTTCTTTCTGGACAATCTGAAACAAAACACAATCTAGAGTTTTAGCAAATATTGTACACGGAAGACTTGGTTTTGCACAGGGGACAATAAATCAAAACTTACCCTCATTTTTTCTTGAATCTTTTTGGTATCAAGCTGGTCCCCTTCAGTGAATATATCAAGTGAAGCCATTGATGCCATAGCAAGCTGTCCTATGTACCCTTCGAAAAGTTCGCTTCCAAAAAGCATTGCAAAAATTGCTGCAGGATCGATGATTGCATCACTAGAAAAAAAATGAACAGAAACGAGTAAGCATGAATGAAAAGGATCCAACACTTATTGCACTGAGAAGATCCATGTCAGTAAACTCGACAAGAAAAAGAGACTAACGTTGAGATCCCTGACTTCCCACAAGCATCATAAGCTAGGCGTTGTCCTGAATCACTTAGCACTTGATAGGCCTCTCCCAACACCTGAATAAGTAGTTACAATATGAAAAACTATCGGAAACATCCAAGATAAGCAGATCGTAACAGAACATACAACGCAAGCACACATCTCCACAAGCCATGTAAAGTGTGTACCATACATAGAAAATTAATAAGAACACCAATTCTCAACCTTGAAATTATTAGAAGATGAACTTATTCCGCTACCTCATACACTAATGAGAAAAGAATGAGATAAGCTAAAAATCCAACAACTTTGGAGATAAAGTTGGTACTAATGATTGAAAGTAGAATCCTCTAAACTTACAATACACAAGCTTATCACCAAAGTCAAAATTTTCCCGAATCTGATTCCAAGGATGAAATTTGTTAAAGCTCAATTATTTGAAATCTGTGAAGTTACCTGGAAATTTTGTGCCGCTTGAGGATCATCTGGGTTTTTATCTGGATGAACTTGGCGTGCCTGTGTCAAAACAATCACTATTTACCGCAAAAACTAGAGCTTTCAAAGCTAGAAATCTCATTCCATAATTTCGTGGGTACTCGAATCGTCACTCCGGAAATTAAAAAAGCCAATCAAACTCATGGGATCCAAAGTAAAAAAAAACAGAAACCCAGAATTCAGATAAAAAAAATTGAACCTTGATGTAGTAAGCCTTCTTGATCTCAGTTTCTGTAGCAGTTGGGCTAACGCCAAGCACATCGTAGTACTCCGTTTCCTTCACCATTAATAAAATCGTCTTCTCTGATCACAAATCTCTTCTCTTATCTCTTTCTCTGAAAACACTCCACGCGCCGGCGACGAGATTTCAAAATCAACCGCAAGAAGCTTTTGGCTCTCTTCTCTTTTATGATTTTTATGTTTTCAACTCACTTTCGCTGCGGGTCGGGTCAAACTAGAAAAAGTCTCAAACTTTTACTTTCAAAGAGCCAAAGAGGAGGTGGTGACTGTGATGACTGGTGTGTTTTTAATTTGAATTGACAAAATCCCATTTCTATTTTTCTCCACGCGGTTTTTCGTCAGCTTCTCATTGGCTCTTTGTTCCATTTTTCCATAAAACCAAAAATACTTAGAGATGAAGGAAAAAGGAAATTTGATTTACGGGGAAATTATGTTAACAAATTTACTAGTTAAGGATAATAAAAATAAATTCAACACGGTTTTGAAATAATTAGGGAAGATTCTCAATGTAATCCTTAAACTGAGAGAATAAATGATAGATGACATCAGAGGAGAAGATTCCAACTCCCATTTCGTCAGCAAGTTCACGAGCCTCTGTAGTCACTTGCACGTCAAAGGCCAAAATGATAGCATATTCCTTCTTTGTCATCTCGAGCATCACTCCAGCCTTCATTATATCCTTTTTATGCACAGTCCCCATCCCAACACCACTGACTGGTATCGTTCCTGCTGGCAACTTCAACAGTTCAAACAATGCTTCCAATGACCCTAACGTAGACGCTTGTAAGTATACTCCTTCACCACTTTGGTCGATCCTGCTCAAAACTGACTTCACACCTTCCATAGCCGACTCCTTAATTGCATCCTCGTCATTATCAGGTCCAACCACATGCAGGCAAGTGCCAGCAATTGCGTTTTCTAGGCCCTATTGCGCACACAAGCCAAAAATAGTGTGATCAGGCATCAGTAAATTCAAAACCAGAGGCTATCAACTAAGATTACTCCAGTGTACTCAGTCCAATCACCAGTGCAGTAATCTTGATACCCCGTGCAGCTTTTATTTCTTTGCGATGCACGTAATTACCCTGAATTACATCAAACCAAGAATGCTCATTGTGTGTAGAAAAACAATTACAAGACACAGTTCCATGAAGTGGAGATCATCTCTGAAGTACCTTCACCCTTAGCTCCTTCATTGGATGAGGAGTCAGTAATTCTCTAATCGTTGTGACTATAGGTCCCTAAAAGATGAGGAATATATAAGTAGATACACAGTAGGTGCCATCACTTGTTTGGGTTTGGAAATTGGAACACAAGTTATTTTACTTGCCTGTAGCCCACAAACGATGATTTGATCACCTTCGTGGAGTTCACCGTTTACCAACACAACATCAATCGTTGTACCATGGCCTTCAATGACTTTCACCCCGATGACAGTACACTGTTCAACAATTTGAAGAATCATAATTATCATGCTCAAGAATTGCAGAAACAAGTGTTACGTACAAGAGAAAAGAGAGAGACCCGCACTTCATCCACATATGTAAGCTTCTCAACCATTGTTCGCTGAGCCCATTGATCCAACAACAGCAAGAGATCTGGGATCCCTTCGTCAAAGTTTCACGTATTGGACCAGCCTCTTCTTTGTAACAGATGGAGAGAGATTGAGAGAGCTTTTTGTCTTTGTGTAACCGGCGTGAAGCTTCCTCAAATTTGTACGATCATCTATTACATAAGTAGATGAATAAGCAATTTCAAGAAGAAAAAAAAAAAGTAGATGAATAGCTGGAGGATAATACATCAGTAATAGTTATTGTTATAGTTAAAATATAGTACTATGATTAAGAATTGATTAGAAAAATATATCAAATTTTGAAAGTTGTATATATATGAACATGCTGTGTAAATTGAATAAGAATTATATAGTAAAAAATCAAAATAAATTAATTAAAAACACATCACATTCACATTTAATAAAAGATTTATTTACTTAAAAAACACTGAATTTGTAATTTGTTAAATGTATGCCATTACAAGTTAATGTATTAGGAAAGTATTAAATTAATATTATTTTTTTGACAAATAGATTTTCAAAATAATTTCTTTCTCCATTTTTAGTTAATAAAGAATGCATTCTTTAACATATTAAATAACTAATCTAAATATCTTCAATTTTTTTTATAACAAATTAGATTATCTATATTAATAAATCTACTTTCTTTTTTTCTTAGCATATCTAATATTTTATTAATTATTAAGAATAAGAAAAAAGATTCAGATCTCAATTTTAACAAAATATTTTTCAATCCATTCAGTAGTGTGCATTTACTCGAATCAACGGCTTAAATTGTTATCAACAATGTAATAACTAATAACCTTCCCGGTGGCGGCTAGAGAAAAAAAAGAAAGGACATAATGACAAGTAAGTAAATCCAAGATTAATCAGAACCTTCTGAGTTAGTTTAGCGGGTCTGAAGATCATTCTTGTCAGGGTTCCAAGAGTTTAACTTGGTCAGCGTTCCCTGATTCCACCGGTTTGGTCTTTGTGTCCTGTGGTTTGAGAGGAGTGCAAGCAATGTTCTTTATTACGCTAGAGTATAGATCAAACTCTGCCTTCAGTTTATTACAGCTTGCTTGTATCCATTTCTCCGCCACACTTGTTGCCACACTGTCTTGGCTATCTCTCTCATGCTCTTCAATGGCTGGCCTTATCTCATCGTATAATGACGAGAGCCGTACTGCTGCGTCCTTCTTCACCTCCTGGGGATACAAGCAAAAATTTGCCAAACACATCATCAATACTTGACAGGAATTTTTAGTTTGTAGCTATTAGCTTGAAAAAGACTTTTACCTCGTATTTGAGAATTTCATCTTGAGCTTCTTTGGTTGCTAGTAGCTGAACCACATTCGCTATATCAACATGCTTTTGAGCGACATTCTTTGTCTTTCCGCCTGAAAACGGCCTGCCTCTTTTCTTCGGAAGAGACTCCGACTTAATCTTCTCAATGCTGCCGCGAACCCGTGATACAATTGCAGTATTCTGCGATGGAACTTGTTGTGAATCATGTGAGAGAAGCTTCATGTCTTCAGTTGTTTCAGTTTTAACAGTCTCCGTGACAACATCTTCCTCCATAGGTGTTGAATCCGATTGCTGAACTGTCAGAGCAGTAGACTCCAATTGGTTCTCTGTCGAGATATCTTTCTCTTTCTCTTCATTTGTGTTGGACTTGTCATTCTTCGAGGGCTCAGATGTAAGCTCGTCCTCTGCAGAATCATACACTGGAATTTTATCAACTGAATACCTGTAGACAAAAGAACAGAGAGGGGATTAAGTATCGCCAGTCCAAGATAAATAAAATAAATAATCCTTTCTTACACGATCTATGACCATCTTTATGCAGCAAAAAATAAGTAAAAAGAACATTACCGATCGTCACCATCCTCCCATACATATGTATCCTCCTGAAATGTATAAAATTAGGTATAGACCAGTTTAATTGATACCATTCCTCCCAATTTTTGAAAATAATACTATTAAAATAAGTCGTAAGGTCTTTGCCTGAAAGCCACGAGACTTGGCTCCAAGAAATCCAGAACATGCGACTGCACCACATAGACAACGGACTTTGGCACCACCATACCATTCAAAATTATAGTCGTAAGCCAATTCAGTCCGGGGAGAGATGCCCTCTTTAGCAAATATTCCAACCCTCACTTCTCCCAGTACATTCCACTTCCTCGTCTCACAATTTGGTCTACTGCGGGAAAATAGAGAAAGAAACAATTAGGAACTATTTACAGATATGAATTTCCTTGAAGCAAGTAAAAAAGTCAGTTGGTTGTTTTACCATGAATGATTAATGAACCTAGCAAGGCTCCCCTTCTTAGTGGCATCAATAGCCTCAGATGCATTGAGAGATATAATGTAGGCATCCTTGACACCTGTTCATGTAGCACAATTTTTACATCACCTAACGTCACATACAGCATTACAAAACTCTCATCATCTCTGTAAAGTTTCTACTCACCATGAGTTTCATAAGTTTGAGCCCTACGCTTTGCTTCTTTCCATGATATTACTTCGCCACAATACTCAATTATAAACTGGCCTGCCTGAACCATAGCATCAAATACAGCCAGTCATTTGAGCAAACCCAACTAAAGATTCACTTCAGAAAATAATACATCAGCCATCTAATTTTGCCTGTTTGCCTTAGATCAATGAAGTGTGATGAACATTTCATATACCTTAGTGAAGAGTATCAGGAATATTAAATACACAATAATAAGCTTGAGTCCTCACCTTTATGTCTTCAAGAGCCACTAGTCCCCACCCACGACCTTCGCACTTAATCAACTTTGTTTTTGCGTATTCACATTTTTGGAACTTCTGTGACCAGCAAAGCATGTAAAAAAGTACTAAGTAGCATACATTTAACTAAATAAGTTCTATGTAAGCCCACACTAGTTCAAATATGAACTTTTAACAACATCACCACCAAGGTTTAAGGAAAATCTTAATGTATTTTGCTGCTACCAGCTATAGAATGACACTACAAATTACAGCAAGATCACCCTCTACTATTAATATGAAAACATAGAAGCAAACGATTTAAACCCTTTTTTTACCTGATTCTTGCAATAGACACCACAAGGGCAGTATCCAGGAGTACATTCCGTGTTAGTAATCACATTAAGGCATCTCTCACCACAAGCACTGTCAGGGTCTCCAAAATCAAACTTGCATTCGCAGATTGAAATATCTTCTTCCTTCTGTTTCTTGTGCCTACAAAGGCATTAAACAGATGTGTACTAAACAACAACTCATATTGAGAAGACCACGGGCCAGCATCAAAAGAAAGGTGCTCACTTTCGATATGAGAAGTCATTTTGATAAACGTGTTCATACTGTGGCAGCTCATCGCCTTCTTGATCCTTTACACAAACGCATACGAAACAAATAAATATATATAAAAAGCTACAAACCAAATGGAAATCTCAGCCATGTAATTGGATATTGAAAAATAACTTACAGGATCACAAGAAAATTGCATTTCTTTTTTTGTTTTTGTTGTTGTCAGCGATTCTCCCAATTTTTCTACAGAAAGGGAGACAATTTAGGTTTTATCAATCTGTGGGATTTAAGATCGACACAAACATTGGAAAAAGGAAGAAACTTGCGTCTGGAAACGAAACCAAAGTAAACGTGTTAGTACACTATTTCTATTGGTGTATGCGCAGAACTGAAAAAGCTACCTGAGAGAGAGTTTAGATTGAGAGAATCCGACGACGAGCGACGGAGAAGACCAATTGACGGCGTTAAAGTTTTTTTCCCCACGCCGTTAAGAATAAATTATTTTACACAATCAAAATTGAGAGAGAAAAAAAAAACTTCACCTTATTGAAAAATGAAAATTTTGGGAAAAAACAAAATTCCTCAAGCTAAAATACTTTTAGCAATTGAAAAACAAAAACATAACACATTTTTTTGTTTCAAAATCAAATATCTTTTTATCAATAAATTAATTAATGATTTAATATATTTTTTTATTCGTGTCCTAAAAGACCTCAAAAGGCTTTCTCTGTTTTTTTTTGGTAATGAAAATAATATTTAATCTTAACTTCAAACAGATTTGTAAAAGATGAATTTCTTTTGTTTATTATATAACTATCTTAGATACACTTATAAATTAGTCTTAAAAAAATTTATATTTTGTTTTTTTATATTAACCTCTTTGACAAATTACACAATGCACTTACTATTAGATACACATTTAAACATATGCTATGAACTAATTTATTACCTGATTAATAGATATATCATACATAAAAATAAATGTTATCATCTATTTAATGTTAAGAAAATAGGGAATTTAATGAAAAATACCATTTTGAAAACTCAAAGTTTGGATAGTGCCTTGGATAACAAATATGAACACATGACAAGATTTCTTTCTTATATCAAAGTACCACTTTATAAGGGTCCATATTGAGAAGTGGTACACTTTTTTTTTAATAATAAGAAGATCATAAAACCACACAAAAGATACAAAATATATTATTGTTGACGAGAAGAAGAAGCCGCTAAGGAAATGGATTTGACGATGGAGAAAGGGGTTAATAAAAAAAGAGTTTTTGCCATAGTCTTGGGGATGATTTTAGGCGTTGGTGTGGGTATTGGGGTGTGGTTCATCTTCAAATAGCTTCTTTCATGGCACTTTTAAGTCTTGGATTCAATTAAAGTAATCAAATTAGTTTCTTCTTTAATAATTTAGTTCTCATGAGAATAAAGTATTGTTTTGAATTGTAGTTTTTTATAAGCTGATAAAAAATTTGTATAAAGTAAAGCTACAATTATTTGGAAATGTATTTAATTATCATTCTACAATGCATTACATATATTTTCACCGATAAATGGTTGATTTTGGCGTTTTTAATTATCTACTTCTACTTTCATAGCACATATTGTATTTTTATCTTATGATCTTTTTTATATATTTTTCGTTTCAAAATTTTGAATATGATATATTTTTTTTCTATATCATGGTTTTATTAATACTTATAGTCATTCTCGTTGTTTGATAAAAGGATCATAACTCATTCTATATTACATGTTAAAAAATTACATATTTAAAATGTTTGTTGTAGTATATAAAACTATAAATTTTATTTAAATTATGACCAATTACTTAGTCAAAAATCTTGTAAAATATATTTTTGCATAAAATAAATATATTACTCGAGTTTTAAATTTTGACCCGTTATAATGTCGTTTTAAAAATTCAATTCATGTCATATGCAAGAATAAATGTACAATTTTATTATGGGAATTATTATATGAATTATATGATGAGTTATTTGTTTCACAAAAATATAATCATATAAAGATAAAAATTGAAGTATATAATTAGTAACAAATTAATATGATAAATTAGATACTAAATCTTCTATATTTATTGTGATTGGTTATTATTTTTTAAAATTAATATTGTATTTTTTATTTTTGATTAAAAAAATAATAATAATGGTTTTTTATAATTTACTTAAATTAAATAATTTAATCTTTTAATTCTTTAACCCATTATAATAAAAAAATTAATGAATAATAAATTTACTAGAATTTGTAATGACATTTTTATTGTAAATAAATTCCAATTTTGAAGTTGTGTACTTTCGTTTTATTAATATGGGGATAAGTTTTAAAATTTTCTCTTAAATTACAAATTTAATTGTTCCTTTATTACCATAAGTTTGAAAGAAATTATTTGACAGATCTTACTATCTATTTAATATTTTCTTTAATATTAAGATATATACTTAAACATATTTTGTGACTAAATTAGATAAAGACAATTATATAAGATCAAGATCAATTAAATATTAGATAATATGAGGTACACATGTCATGATGTGAGTTGGGTCGTTGAACGCATGTTAAGATTTATTTGATTATAAAATACCACTCAGTTTTTTTTTTATATTGGTATGACTACTTGCAAAATTTAGATAATAATAATAAGAACATAACACTATTAACACACAAAATACCACAAAGACGCATCAAAGAATTGTAACGGGAAATGGAACTGATTGCTTTTTTTGGGATAGGCCTCGCTGCCGGGGTGGTTATAGGCTTGGTGGTTCTTGCGGTATGGTTCCTCGTCAAAAAGTTCAGGAAGTCGTAATTAATTAATAGCCAAAATGTGTTTAAATGTAATAACCTTATCATAATATTAAGACATATTTTAATAATTAGTAGTTTCATGGATGATATATATATAACTGACGAGAGTTTGTATTTCTTGAATAATTAAGTCATATTTTACAAAGTATAAGCGATAAACAGATGTGTACATAGTCGAAAAATCGTGTCTATGTATGACTATTGCTACACTAGTTTGAAATATGTTTGGATAATGAATCATACTCACCAATTTATGTATTGCTATAGTTTTTTTTTTTTTTTTTTACGAAGTTTCCGCAACTCAAATCAAATAAGTAACTTATGTCTTGTTGAAAGTTTATATAAAATCTTTTTTACGTATATGTAAATATGTACAACTTTTGTTTTATCGTATAAAAAAGTCAAATCAAATCAAATACTGTATAACTTTTTAATGTATATACTAGGTTTGAACCCGCGGTACACCGCGGGTCTGTGTTTTTTATTTGGATTTTCTAGAAATATGAAACTGTTAATATGGTTTGTTGTGTTGGTTAGATATTTTTTACTTAAAAAAAATTTGTTAAACACTCTTATTGTTGTATTAAATTATTTAAATACTTGCGAGCTAAGACAAATTATAAATTTGTGGTAAATGTGTGTTGGTGAATAATTTGTATGTTGTTGTGAGTAGACTATATTTATAGTTGTAAATTAATATAAATTATTTTGTGTTTATGGTGCTCAGAATTAAAATAATGTGCAATATTGTTATTGGTTCCTAACGTTATTGAATGATTAATTTAGAGGTTGGAAAAATATTTTAACGTTGAGAATTAATGAGACTATACATAGAATCTGATGATGTATTTTTTTAATTGTGTTTTACATAAATTTTTAGGCAGGTATGAAAGTTAGTTTTAGCCCGCAATATATTGCGATATAAAATTTTATCTACAAATACAACAATATTAAACTTTTACATTATTTACAATGTAAGATTTAAATTTCATAATTTTATATTTAACCAATAGTACTTCTGTAGTTTAGTAATTAAGTGGTGTAATTATACATTTTAAGGTGTTAAAAATTACATTTTCATTTATATTATCGTATAACATACCGATGTTAATTCTACCCCTTTCAACCTATTGCTCCGCAAACTCAAAATTGTGTTTGCTTTTAAATTCTGATGGAACTTTTAGAGTTTAGGTTTAGCCACTTCAACCTTATCTTCTTAATCTCACGTACATTCTTCATTACACCAATACAGCCATATTTATATTATTATATGATTGTTGTATCCTTGACATAACACACACTAAACAAACCCATTTACACGGGCCTTTGTTAACTTCTAGCCCAAGTGCCTTTTCTTCTTTCTTCTTTTTCCTCCTCCTACGACACAACATCCTTCTTCTTCTTCTCATTCTTACGATTCCTCTTCTTCATCTTGCATCTGCTCACTCTTGTCTTAGCTTAAGTATGAATCAACTGCCAACAATACTAATAATTCCGGCCAAACGATCGATACTAATGTACATTGGATCAGGTACATATTTAATCGAAGATCCAACAAAGAAGAACAGTTTAAAATAAATCTTAATCATCTGGGGATTCTTTTTTTCCTTCAATCAGAGACAATAGCTTTACTATTGTTCCTGCAAACCAAATCACAAAGAAAAGAGTTAGAGATAAATTAGTTTAAGCAATCAATCACTTAAATCATCAACTTTAACCTAGATCTAAGGATTTAAAGCACAAAAACCATAAAACTAAAAACAGCAAACATAAGTCCTTAACAAATGTCGCAGAGAACCAGAATGTTAACTAACACCTAATTCGGCCATGAACAGCCGAGAGCAATGCGGCAAGAATCACCGAAGAAAAACGATACTGGAAAAAGTTCAGCCCAACACTGCAAAAGCACTAATGTATATTGAAAGAAAAGCCCGATGAACGGGATATGATAACCGGAAACGACTCCGGACGGCAAGAAAATATGGTTTTTCTCTTTGAAAATTTTGAGAGAGAGAGAACAACACCACTGCTCGTAACATAATCCAAGGAAACTTAAGGTCCGCGTGTTTTTTTTAATGGGTTATAATTGACCCGATTGGAATTTTTCCCCAATTACCCCTCTCGATTTTGAAATTCTGTCTCCTATTAACAAAATTAAAAATCAATTGCTTAATTTCGAGGTTAAATTTGTCAAAATTTTAACAATGTTCAATTTGTACTTCTGAAGATGTATAACTTTTGTACTCAAATCAAATATATGTATAACTTTTGTTTTCTCGTATAAAAATAGTCACCGATCGAAAACAACCGGTAAAAAGTAAAACAATATAATTTAGTTGAGCTAGAAGGAACTCAAGACGGCCTTGTGGTTTTGGTATTTGGTGTATTCGTGAATATGACTCGATCGAAGAGGAGTGCATATGATATCTTAAAAGAACGTTGTAAAAACCGCCTGTTTTCTTGAGGGTTATATGTACCTCGTGGTCCTCGTCCACGTGCTGACAGTCATGCACTGCAAAAGAAAGCTTCGTAAAGGCTTCAAAATAAACTAGAAACAGTAGAAAAGTTTTCCAAAGTTGTTAAATATACATATACATAAAAAAAACAAAATTGCATGTTTTTCTTGACCAAAATACATGATACGGTTAAAGATATGTTTAGATCGGACCTCTTTTTTTTTGGGTAATTATACATCTTTTATAAATTATGTATGATAAAAGTGTGTATATATGAAACAATAATATATGTATGATTATATTGCCACAATGGTTTGAAATGTGTTTGGATAATGGATCCAATTGGTAAAAATAAAGTTTACGCAAACACATTTCAAACCATTGTAGCAATATCCAAACACATTCCAGACCATTGTAGCACAATGAATTGTATTGCGTAAAACTTTATTTTTACTACGTTTCCAGTTTCCACTACCCAAATACATACTGTAATATACAAATATCATTTCGTTTTTTTTGTTTCCTCGTATAAAACAGTGACCGAAAGCAAACCGGTAAAAAACCAGAGGGTTTTGGTCGAACAAAAACCAATCGGCCAAAACAAGAAGCCGTTAATTACCGACGTTTTCGCTCAGCTGTAGGAGGTAATTTCTCTGATGGTCCTGTCGGAAGTTTACGGCCAGTCTTCTTTTCCAGTCGCTTCTTTAGCTCTCTTAGTATTCGAATCTGTTGTAGCTTCTCCGGTGACAGTTTGTCCCAATAGATTCCTGTAACAGAGAACAGCTCTCATGAACAAATGGAGAATCACTTTAAAGCATATCTTTCAGAAAACAATCCAGCGACAAAAGTTTTATGAAATCTTGAGTTAATACAGGACCTTGTGGTTTTGGTATTGGTGTATTTGTGAAAATGACTCGAGTAGGAGTGCATATGATATCCACAGGAACATCGTGAATCGCCAGTTTCTCGAGTGGTATATCATCCACGAGCTGACAATCATGTACTGTAAAGGAAGTAAACACTTCATGAACCATGAAGATTAAACAAAAAAGAAAGCAATAGAATGTTTTCCAATGTTGGTACTTAATTGTATCTATACCGGTTGTAACAACTGGTGTGGAATCATCAATGGCTCCCATGTAACGCAACATACCATATTCAAGTTCAGCAAAACCCTGAACACATATTGAGGAACTCATATCATATGGTTGCTTCAATTGAATTTTCTATTACTCTAATGGAAAATTGAATTTGTAGCAATTACCTCTCCCTTCCCTAATCGAGCGCCTGTTTGTGGGTTAACCGCAACGGAGCCAATGACAATAAGATCAACTTTGATTTTCTCATCAAGACCAATCGCTCTCCCATATTTAGCTACTCCTACAGAGGTGCAAGCCTCACTGATCATTTCTGGTTTTAACAAATCAGATTCCAGTACAGAGAAGAATCCAGTTCGTAGCCTAGGTTGAGGAGTCAACAGCTTCTTGTCACCTATAGTTACAGAACACAATGTCTAAAAATCGGATTTCAACTCAAGACTATACTTCTTACATCACCAGAAGGAAATACACTTGTAGTATGAGAATATTTCCAAAGATAAATACATGACTGAACATGAGGTCAAAACTAGTGTGAAGAATTTTTCAAACATAGATGTATTAAACTAACCAGAAAGTGTAAGAAACCTGATTTGCTTTTGAGGCGAATCGGGATTAACCTTCACGACCATAGCCTTACAAAAAGCGTCAAGCTCGGCTAACTGCACGAAGAACTTAAATTAGGCACATTCACTAAAAGACACAAGTTTTAAGCAAGAAAACGCCTTAGCTTGTGCAATAAATTTCATTTTCCATCAGATCCAGCTCCTAGAATCTTACAACAATCATTTGGGTTGTCTTGTTTTCTCAGCAAATTCACTTTCATATTCCATCAAATCTAGCTTTTGCAAAATTTTAACAGTTGAGCCGTCTTGTTTATTTCCTTAAATTCACTGGAATTGATATCTACATATGTAGTGTTACCGCATGATCAATCTTCCAAAAGTACAAGAACATCAATTAGGCGAAACCAAACTAGAAAGTGAAGAAGGAAGTTAAAAATTCTCAAACTTTTGCTGCAGCAGCCGGTGCACCGACGAAATTAGGGATTCGATGATGAACAGGTCTAGGTCTCATAGCGTAGTTCCGAGCTTCCATGAGATCCCACATTTTCTTTCGGATCACCCATTTCCACGCTTTCGGGTCACTCTCTGGATCCGATTCCAGTTCCTTCTTCGCGGTCTCCGCCATATTCTCCATCGCCGCCGCGTCGAGGCTCAACCGCTCAGATTCATAAGCCACAGCATCGAAAGCGACGCCGTCGCCGCTCTCCGATCCGATTCTGGAGAAATTCCTCCGCCGTGATCCGATTTGGACGGGGAGAAAAACCGATTTCTGGGAATTGAGGAAGAGACAAGGGTTTATAGCAAATCCTGGTGATGATCTTATCATTGTTAGGTCCACGAACAGACTCAATTCAAGTTTTGGGTTTTCGAAAAATCTCAGCTTTGTTCACTGTTCTGTGTAATCTCAGATAAGAAATCAACGGCTTAGATCATTCGTTGTGTTCCCGCTGAAAACACACTTCACTCCCTCTTCTCCTGGAGGGTTTCAGTTTCAAAAGTACCTTTTTTTTTTATTGATTTTCATTTAATGGGCCTACTATGTCGGCCCAAGAAGCGGTTCTTCCTCTAGAGTCTAGACGCTTCCGCGAGCTTTGTTCGTTAACCACACATATTCATCCACGTCATAAATACACGCGTGGTTTTAGCATCTTTAAATTCTTGACAGTTCTACTTACAAGTTACGAGAGCGGGTTAGCCAAAATTCAAATTTAAACACCAAATCATTAGTTTCAGAGACGATTCCAATTCCCAAACTTCTTCTAAACCCAAAACTCTTTCTCACCGATTCTGACTGTATAAATCTGACACTTTTGTGGTGTGTTAGTCTAATTCATGGTGAGAGAACAATCTCGAATTGTTTTGATCTATAGAAATGGATTTTCATGGAATGAAGAGGAAGCAATTACAAAGTTTATGCAAGAAGCATGGGATACCAGCTAACTTGAAGAATGTTGAGATGGCTAATAGACTCGCTTCTGCTTTCGAGGTAATAGCATGATCTTCCTCTTCAAATTCCTATACATTTTGCAACGTTTTATCTTTAGAATGATATAGTTGTTCAGAAAGTAAGATTCAGTTCTGAGAATGAAGCTTTTTTACTTTACTCGTTGTTTGAAGGGATGCCAGCGGAAGAACGTTGGAACGCATAGCAGAGGGATTAATGTTCAAGATCTTCAAGAAAGTGGTGTTGAGCTAAAGCGGTCAACAAGGATTTTGGCTACGGGGATAACAGTAGCTGGATCTAATGAAAATGACGTTTCAAAAGCTCCCAAGGTCCCAAGGCCTGGTGATACTCAAGAAGACTGTAAAGGAACAGAACTGATGGGTTTGGAACAGTTTGAGAATGAGGATATCTCACAAGGATGTGATCAGGATGGGGTCAAGTTAGTAAAAAATGCTCAAAATCTGTCTAAGCAGCGTGAAAAGAGTCTCAGTGAACTCCTCCTAGTTGATGGCCAAGTGCACAAGTGTGGTAAACAACCAAGGAGAACTTTTGGAGATGGTCGCCAGGATCAAAACCTTCTAAGAAGTTTGACGCACACTATGTTAGATAATACTCTAGGTCAAGCAGATGGAGCCTATGTTGATAATGTGAAGAAGTCAAATGTAAATGATGAAATTCAGGTCAGTGTTATATCTACTAGGAAGGATGATTCATTTGAGGCTCCAATAAAAGGTACGTTTGATTCTTTTGATACTGAATTATTTTTAGATGTATGTCTTAACTATTTGTTTTATATTTTTTGTTTCTTTCTGATGCTTAATCACAGCTATCCTGGAAAATTCAGCTGAACATTGGAAAGAGACTAACCCAAGCAAAGATGATGAGAAAAGTTCCTCAGAGAAGGATGTACAAGCAACAAATTTACATGGAAACTTTTTTGAAACCAACAGTGCAGAAGAAGAAATGGAGATTGCTAAGGTCGGTTGTCAGGGTGCTGGTCATTGTGAGGAACAATCACCAGAAATGTTTTTGGATGAGTATGCTCAGTGGGATCCAGAAGAAGCAGGGGACACTCATGTGAAAGCTATTAGCTCATCCAAGACAGTGAATCAAGAATTTGTAGAAGATATGCCACAAGGAATGGCCAAGGAGGACTCACCTTCTACATCAGAATCTGATTTGAGTTCTAAGAATGCTTTGGATTCTGCACGGGCAGTTTTAGGTGATATTTCAAACACTCAAGATTTGGATTCTCAACTTCTGAAAAGAGAACATGAGCAAAAAACATGTCTGATGGATGTGACTATGGGTAAAGGGGAAGCATCTTCATTGTCTGAGTTTCTTGTTGAGCGCTCAGTAGCGAAAATACGCCCTGATAACGGCACGATTGATTGTTATCTATCTGTGGAAAAGACTACGCCTCCTGCTTTAGTACAGTTAGGGGTGCCGCCTTCTAGCAATATCAATGACAAGGATATGGTTTCGACAGTTCTCACCGCGGAAAATATTGAAACCAAGGGTATCAACTCTTAGCCATTTTCAGTTACTTTAAATTTCTCTTGTTGATTCTTTACTAATCCATGTTGCTCTCTGACATTTAATTTCAGCAATCATGGAAAATTCATCTGAATGCCGATCAAGCAAAGATGGTCTGACACTGACATGTTCCTTAAAGAAGACAACACAAGCAGAAAATCTTCATGATAGCTTCTCTGGATACAACACTGAGATTAGTAAGGTTGGTTGTACCAGTTTTGGTGATTGTGTAAATCTGGATATCCTCGATGAAGTCAAGGGTGAGGTTCTGCGGAAATCGGAGCAAAGAAGTTCTTATGAAAGATGTTACAAACTTAATGCGTTAGAGCTAAGAAGATGCTCGGCAACTGATTATACTTCTCACTCTCTTGAGGAAAAAAAAGTTTCAAAGCGTTTTGAGGAATCTGACACGTCCTCTAACCCAGAGAGGCACATGCTGATTGGAGACTCCAAACTAGATGGAAGAAAAAACATAGGAGATTATTCTGCTAGCACTTGCGAAGAGTTTTTTTTCACTTCTCTAGAGAGAAAACAATTTTTAGTAAACTTTGAACGATACAGTGCTGGAAAGCAAGAACAAAAGGAGGTTAACGGCAGTGTGATTGAGGAAAGTCTTGTTGCAGCTCCAGATCTCAGAGAAAAAACCATTGCTAGCTCAAGCGGTTGTATAACATCCAAAATTTCTTACAGCCATGACTTTAATGCCGGGAAAGAGACTGCAGATTCAGAGTTAATGCTAAATGATTGTCAGGCAGAGGGTGTTGTCGGTCTAGATACTACACTAGGGACATCAAAGAAAAGCAGAGAGCATTGTCCACATGTTGACTTGATAAATATTTTTGATTTTGACACTGAGGAGGCAGAGACAATCATGGGAGCCGAAAGAAATGTTTCCATTAGATCCTACGTTACCTTACCAGCCAAAGGTAACTCCGAAGAAGTTCCTAGCTACCTTGAAGCTGCTGGTCACTGTTCCATGGTGTCTGGTGAGCAACTTTCTTTTGTCTAAAGTTATTAGTCATTCTATACGTTGAGTTTAAATTTTCATATCTCGTTCTTCATCCCTGAAACGTAGAAGAACCTGGTCTTTCCACAGACATTCAGAATCAGGCACATGTTTCATTGGAGGGATTGGCAATAACAACAGGTAATTTTCACTTTAACAATTGTACTTTTCAGTATCACATACATTCTTATATTCTTTCAAATCATTTGTAAACAAAAATTGCATACATAAGTACACAAGGTAGTTATATTCTTTCCAGCATACATAAGTACACAAGGTAGTTATATTTTTTCCAATCATTTGTAGACAATGATGAAACAGATGAGCAAACAAAGAAGATTCAAAAAGGCTTCGAAGGAAATTTTCGGTTGAACACCTCATGTGTCTCTTATGTCTCTGAAAAGATATGCATCTTAGCTGGAACAGAGAATGAAGATTAAGCAGCTAGTCCAATTGCTGATGCCTTTGGTAAGCTCTGTTTCTACATCAAAGCAATGTCTAGGTGTTGTTTGCTATATTGGGATACTCTGGAGTCTGGACTAATAACTGCTTCTACTATATCTATTCTCACAGAGAAAACCATCTCTCTGATCCCTAATGAATCTACTGTTCAGAATAATATGAAGGAAAAAGGTTAGATTTCTTACAAATTATGTCTCTTATGTCCAGCAATGATGGCAAAACAGCTAAAAAAAAATGACTAACCCCTAAAAGAATTTCCTTTTTTAAATTGCTGCAGATAAGGAAATGATCAGGAGAGAAGCTAGGCCTGAGACCAGAAAGGAGTATTTGAACATTGATGAATCGGGTGCGTTATCCAAGATGCAAGTAAGAAGAGAATCAAGCTTGACTTACAGAACGCAAGTGAAGCCTAAAATACATGACATGAAAGAGAATGCACCAAACTCAAGGATTGTGCGTAATCTTAACGTAACAGCTCCAAGAACATCAAAGAGACACCCGCTCCAAGACTTGACGAAGAACTAGAATCTGCATATCTCATGCAGTTTTGGGCCTTGTCTAAACTTTCTCCTCTTTGCTATAATAATTTCTTTTTCTATTTCTATTTATGTACTGTGAACTACCTATCTTGAATCAGCACTACTAAATAAAGAAGTAACTTTTCAAATTTGCATTAATGCTTGTGTCTGTGTTTTCACAAAAGTTTCCTTTATGCTTTCGTCTGTTGCAAGATGTTGCAAGATGCATCCTTACCTATTTCTTCCAATGATGTTGATGGTGAATATAATTTGTTTCCATTGAATTTAACCAAACGAGTTGCAGGTTGAGTGATCCTAATCTGGCCCATTAGCCCCTGAACAGACCCATACGTAGTAGTAAATGTTCTGTAATCCCACTAACAACGCAGGTTTAATACAGTAATACTTACCCACTACGCCACTAAGCAGTAATTATCTCACAATCTAATGAGCTTCCCTTGTAGTTACTTTGGCCCTTTCACTCTACCATTTACTTGTAACAGTCAAGTCCAAACTGACTATATAAGTTCTCTATGGTTATCTCTCAATTCTCATCACAAACATAAAAAAATTGATCAGACCCACTCTTAATCTTTCTCTTCTTTCGACCTCATCATTCTTGTGAGATATGGCTACCAAATGCAGTTTCATGGTTACCACGCTCATGCTCATGGTGGCTTCTTCCATGGTGACAGCTCGACCTCTCATGAAACCATCTATGAGCTCGTCTTCTCCTCCCACAAGCCTTGCGTACAGGCTCAGGCTTGATGAAGATACAGGTTACTGCTGGGACTCACTGATGCAGCTCCAACACTGCTCTGGAGAGCTGATCCTGTTCTTCCTCAATGGTGAGACTTACATTGGCCCTGGGTGTTGCAGTGCTATAAAAACCGTTGGACGCAAGTGTTGGCCTACTATGATTGGTGTTCTTGGGTTTACTGCTCAAGAAGGTGACATGCTTCAAGGTTACTGTGATGGCCATGACTCTGACAACAATGGTGAGGACCCTGCTCTTGCCTCCTCACCACTGCCTCTGTCCGTGAATTACAAGCCTAGGGTTGTTAGATCCTTTTCCAACCCTTGAATCATATTATTCAGATTACACGCCTGCTTTGTTTTCTTATGCTAAGAGAAATTTAGTCTTCATGTAATAGGAGAGGAATGTTGAAAAACAGCTTCTCTGTTATTACTTTGGGAATAAAAGATCATTACTGAGAAGAAGGTTTTACAAATCTGGTATTCATAAATATCTTTCTTAATCAACTGAAAACATCTAAAAGAGTGGAAAGACAACTAAAAGAGTTCATGATCCATAACTAAGGCTGCACTTCCAGAGAATCCTCAATTCGTTTGATGAGCTGTTTGGCCGTCAAAGCACCCTCCTAGTAAGTCATGAGGAAGAAAACGTTTGTGAGAAAAGAACATTAAAGAGTAAAAACACCAGAGTAGTGCACAGATATAGAAAGACAATAGAAGTCATCATACAAAGCGATCACAAGGTTCTCCATCTTTGAATAAGATAAATGTAGGAAGTGCCTCAATCTTGTATTTATTGGCAATACTCGGGTACTTCTCCGTATCGATCTTCACCACCTGGATCTTGTCTTTCAGGGTTGTACTCACTTCATTGAGTATTGGAACCATGAACTGGCACGGGCCACACCTACCAAACGGAACATTAACATTCTGATTTACTAGCTTTTCAAAATCCATATGTCAAACAAATACACTGAATAAGCAAACCACATTATAAAAAAAAGTAGACAAAGTATACTCATTCATGGTACAAAAGTGTTTATAAGGAAAAAATGTAGCTCGCTAACACCTTCTGACACCAAAACAACTCACCAGGTTGCATAATAGTCAACTAGAACTGGCTTATCAGAATTCACAAGTAGATCCTCAAATGAATCATATGTCTGCTTCTTGGCTTCAATCTGAAATAACAACAACAGTGGTTTGTTAACTCGCTCAAGCTAAATCGAGAAGTAGATAAAGACACTCACTTTAAACCAATTCCAAACCCTAGAGAAAAATCAGCTTAGGAAGAGACTCATCAGCAGCTCTATTCTCACGGGAAAGTTTCAAGCTTGAGAATTTGAATAGATCATAGAGTGCAAATAAAGTATACTTTTTCACATAGATCAGCACACAGAAGCTAGATTTTTAATGGAATACAAGTTTAAGCAGAGAAGGGGAATTACAGGTCTAGGAGTGCACCGCGTCGTTGAAGTTAAAAATGGAAACTTCAAGTCTCCTGTTCGAACCCGACGAACGGGAAACTGAACTTTAACTGCAGAGATAGAACGAGAAGTGAAAGCAGAAACACTAGACGATTCTTTCGATTTCAGCGAGGGAATCGTGGACGACGAGAGAGAAATCGCCGCCATGAAAATAAATTCAGAAAAAGACGAACTCTTTGATTCAGCGGCGTTGGTAGGTTGATGATGACACTTGCGAAAACTTAATTTGACCAGAGAGAGACAGAGAAGTGAACTCTGAATGAAAAAGACAGAAAGTACAAGAAAGACCGTGGCGATCCACTACGGTCGAGTGCACCGTATCGTTTTGTAATAAACCACAAACACGCATATCACTGTAGCCAAACAAACCCTCTCTTTTTCATTGTAACTTCACTACTTGTTTGTTCCCGCCAACGCAACTAGGACAGTTAGAAAAGACAAAACTTTTTTGAGTTTCCTGAAGAAGCAAGTAACGAATATATTCTTGTAGGCCTCACCATGTGAAATCTAATTTTACAACCAAAAAAACCTAGTTCTAATAAAAACAAAACAGTTCAATGTTGTAGCTCAAGAAGAGGAAACACAAAAAAAAAAAAGAAGAAGAAGATGGAGCTTGAATTAGGTCTGAAGATAACTCGAACAAAAGACGATGTCTCTTCCTCTACAGATTTTCGGGTTGCCAGAGATTCTTTTGGGCATATCTCGCTTTCTCGAGAAACCAATGCTGTGTTCATCCTCACTCTTCATCTCAAAGGTTTTTTAATATATAAACATGTTTCCACTCTTCTTCTTTGTTCTAACTTAATTATCTAAATAAGATATTGAGATTGAGAACCAAATGCAGGATTTAAGAAGGATGGTATCGATATCGAGATTAACAAAGAAGGGAATCGGATTAAGATTAGCGGAAGAAAACAGGTGCAAGAGATGGTTTTGGTAAAGTGGGTTGAATGGAAAAAGGAAACTGAAATAAAGGAATTCAAGAAAGTGTTTCGGATTCCGGATATCGTTAATCTTGACAAGATCAAAGCGAAACTTAATGAAGAAGATGGGACTTTAACTGTTACAATGCCTAAGAAAATTAAGGGGATTACCGGTTTGAAGATAGAGGAAGAGGAGGAGGAGGAAGAAGAAGAAAAAACAAAGGCAATAGTAGAAGAGAAAACAGAACCAGAAGAAGAAATCAAAGAAGAGCCAAAACCTGAGGTAGAAGAAGTAGAAGAGCCACAAAGAGAAGTGGAAGAAGACAAGATTGAAGAAGAGGTAATGGAGGAAGAAACAAGGGATCATGAAGAAAAGAAAGAAGAAGTAGAAGAGAAACCAAGAAAGAAGAGAAGAAAAAAGTTCCGTCTACCATGTTTTGCAGGATCCACTCTGCTTATGTCTATTATTGTTTTCATTATTCAATTGATCCAATCCAGAAAAAATTGAGATCACTCCTTCTTAGGTTTTAAGGATAGGGTTCTCTTGTTGTTTTTGAAGGATGAAACCCTTTTTTTGTTTTGTTTTTCTTGTTATCTGATTTTTGTAAAAAAAAAGCTGGATTAATATATGTAATGTGAGTTATGTATGTTGTTTCACTACTGGTCCTTAAAAATTGCTATCTAAAAATGTTTTTAAAGTGTAATCACTTCTTCGGTATAACGCTCGCTTTCTTATAGACCAAAAACGATATGTAAACTTTGATTAAGATGAATTGGTTACTTGTGCTCGATGGCAACAAAAGAGTAAAGGTGTTGACAGTTTGACTAGTTTTCAAGTCCTAAAGTGGAAGTAACGAATATATATAGCCTTTTCATCAGCTCCCCTTTACTCTTTAGTGGGAACATCAACAAATCTTAGAAAGAAGCCACTAAAATTAAAAACAGAGGAAAGGAGTTGCGTTGGTTCATAAATATGGAGCTAGAATTGGGATTAAAGATCACGAGAACGAGAGAAGATGTATCGTCCTCAGTTGATTTCCGCTTTTCCAAAGACCCATTTGGTCCTCTGGTGCTTTCTCGTGAAACCAATTCGAGGTTCATCATCATCATCCACCTTAAAGGTCATAACTTTTTTTACTTCTACTGCAGTTTTCTTGAATTTTGGTGTCTGTGAGACAATTAGGGTTGACTGATTGATTTTAGGGTTTTTAATGAATTTGAGGGGGCAGGGTTCAAAAAGGAAGGTATTGAAATAGATATAAACAAAGAGGGGAATCGGATAACTATAGAAGGGAGGAAGCCTGTGGAAGAAATGGTTATGATTAGATGGATGGCGTGGAAGAAAGAAGTTGAATTTAGGGTTTTCAAAAAAGTTTTTAGGATTCCTGATACTGTGGATTTAGATGAGATTAAAGCGAGGTTTGATGATGATGATGCCACTCTTACCATCACTATGCCGAAAAGAGTTAAGGGGATTTCTGGATTCAACATTGAGGAAGAAGAAGAAGAAAAAGTGGACTTTGGAGATGTGAGTGCAGCTGGAGAAGTTGAAGAGGAAACAGAGAAGGGAGAAGCTGAAGAGCAGAATTTACAAAGAGGAGAGTCTGATGTACAGTCTAAGAAACTTGAGAAAGCGCTTCAGAAAGAAGAAGAGATTGGACAAACTATGGAAAACAAAGAAAGAGAGAATCAAGTCTTGGAAGCTGAAGAAAACAGTTTCAGTGCAGGAGGTGTGGAGGATGAAGAGTTTGGAGATAAAGAGAGCCAGCAAAACGGGGAAGAAGAAACTGAGGATGATTACTTAGAGAAGAGTCCCCAGATTGATGAGCAAGACAATATTATGGAATGTATACAAGAAGAACAAGAGTTGGCTGATTCAAACAAAGGGAGTGAGGACAGTAGCTTAAGAAAGCCTACAGACTTAGAAGGACGAGAATCTCTTGAGCAGACAAGACATGACGAACAAGAATATAGCCAACACTCTGAGACAGTGATTCAGAGAGAAGAAGAGTTTGGAGAAAGAGAAAAGGATATAAAAGAAACTGATGGTTATAACTTGGACAATATTCACCAGAGTGATGAAGAAGACAAGATTCACCAGATTGATGAACAAGATAAAGAAACAATCGTTGCTGATTCTAATAAAGAGAATGAGGCCATGAGCTTGAGAAAGCCCTCAGATATTCAAGAACGAGATTCTCAGGAACAGACAGGACATGAGGAACAAGAACTAGATTCTCATGAACAGAGAAGACATGAGGAACAACAAGAACTAGATTCTCAACAGACAAGAGATAAGGAACAAGAAAGAGTCGTGGAGGAGCAAGATTCACAAGCAGAGACTAATATTAATGATTTTGGATGCAGAGCGTTTGAAGAGATTGGAGAACAAAAACTTGATGTTATTAAAAGTAGAGAAATGGAAAAGGAAACGATTGATGATGATGTTGTTGTCTTGAGCAAGGTTCAAGAGATTGAACAACCAGAGATACACAATGATGCAAGCAAGAAAGTGGAAGGAGAAACAAGTGGTTACGAGAGGGAAAAATTTGTAAAGATGGGCGTAAAAGATGGGGATTCAAAGGAAGAGGTTGATGGGAAAATGGGAGAAGGATTCAGACCAAACATTGATAGAACACAAGTAGTTGCAGAAAAAAACATTGGAGAAACGGAGACAAAAGCTGAGGAGCTTGAATCTGATAAGCTAAAAGCAGATGAGGTAGACAAAACACATGAACTGGTTAAGAAAAAGGAAGAGGAAGGGGGAAATGCTAAGGTGAGAAGACAAAGTGAAGACAGAAACTTAATAAAGCTTCAAGAGAATGAAGAACAACACTATAAGGGACAAAGGGGAAAAGACAAACAAAAAATGATAAAAGGTTTGGTGGAAGAGACAACTCCAAAAGCAGAGGCAGATACAGGGAGTGAAATTCCAAAACCAGTCTATTCGAAAACAGGTGATAAAGAAAAAGAGGAGAAGAAAAGCGTAAAGATGGAGATAAAAACTGAGGAGGCCAAAAAAGAAGTTAATGCGAATGTAGGCGGAGGATTTGCACCAAATATCGCAGAAACTGAGACAAATTTTGAGGAGCTTGAATCTGATAAACTAGATTCAGACAAAATACAGAAAATGGATGAGAAGAAAGAGGAGGAAAAAGAAAATACTAAGGTTGGAACACATAGTGAAGACAGCAGCTTAACAAAGCTTAAAGAGATTGGAGAACAACATATTAAGGGACAAAAGCTACACGAAAAGCAAGAACAGATCAGAGATTTGGTGGAAGAGCAAAATCTAGAGGGAGAGACAAGTACTGGGAATGATATTCCAAAACCAGTTCAAGAGATTGAAGAAGTCCAAGAGGTGGAAACGTTAGGGAAAACAGGTGATGAAGGAAAAGTAAGAAAGGAGAATAAGAATAGTGTAATGATGGACATCAATAATGAGGATGTCAAAGAAGAGGTTGATGAAATGGGCCAACGATTCAAACCAAACGTTTCTGAGACTGACACAAAATCCGTGGAGTTTGAATCTGATCAAGTAGAAGCAGATGAGGTAGACAAGATACATGCACTGGTTGAGAAGAAAGAAGATGTAGAGGAAAATGCTGAGATCGGAAGAGAAACTGAAGATATCAGCTTAGAAGAGCTTCAAGAGACTGAAGAACAAAAATTTCATAGACAAAAGCGGCACGATAAACTAGAAAAGATCAACGAAATTGTTGAAGAGAAAACTCTAGAGGGTGAGACAAATGTTGGGAATGATATTCCAAAGCCAGTAGCGGAGAGAAGTGAGGGAAAACACAAGATTCAAAGAAAACTCCAAGAGGACACAATGAATCAGCCTGAGGAGTACAAAGAGAAAATTACGGTGACCAGGAAAAAGACTAATGATTCTGGCGCAAGAAAGGTTCAAGAGATTATTAGACAACAAGAGTTAGATGAACCAGGAAGATCTGAGAAAGATATCAAGATCAGAGAGCTGGTGAAAAGCAAAAAAAATGATGAAGAGAAAGAAGAGAAAATTGCAGAAACAGAAATAAAGGAGCAAGAGTCATATAGACCAAAAATACTCAGGGAACGAGGAAAGATCCAAGAACTGGCTGAAGAGAAGACTAACTTTTCAAAAACTGGAAAAGTCAAGGAGGAAGAAGATATTGCAGAGAAGAAAACAGAATTTGGTGATGATGGTAATATTTCAGGAAAAGTTGAAAAGCGAGTTTCAGATGCAATGAAGGGACAAGAAGAAAAAGACATGATTCAAGCATTAGCAGTGGAAGAAAAAGTAAGTGATGGCGGCAAAAGAATCATTGCTGTGTCTGAGACAAATGCTGCGAATGAAAAGTCAAAAAAAGTTCAAGAGATTGATGAACAACAATTGCCTGGAAAACAATTCCAGAAACTCATAGGAGGAGAAGTGAGTAGTCATGGAGAAGTTGAAGATGTGGAAAATGAAAAGAAAACAACAGAGGCAGAGAAAATAATAAGGGATAGAACGAGAGAATCTCAAGAGATTGAAAAAACAGATTCAGATATGTCTGGAAAATATATCAAAGGTACCAAGATCCAAGAAACCGAGGAAACTGTTAGAGGAATTTATCGAAATGAACATGGCGAAGAGAAGAATGGCGATAGACCTGAAAATATAACAGGTAAGATGGAACATGAATCCCTTAATCTGAAGAGTCAATTAGAACAAGACAATCTTAAAGTTGGAGAAGAGACTCAAGAACTGGTGGAAGAAAAATTCAAAGACTGCAGAGAAGATGAGAGCAGTGAAGAATCGAAGACCAAAGCCGATGATGATGTAGTAAGAAATGTTCATGGTATTAAAGAACAGGATTCGTATGGCCTAAAAAGGGAACATGAAAGAAAGATTCAAGAATTGGTAGAAGAGAAAACAGGTGATCATGAAAAAGAAGAAGACAAAAAAATGGCAGAGTCAGAGATAGAAGCTGACTGTGATAGCTTAAGAAAGGTAGACGGTAGCAAATCACGGGAGTTGCATGAACCAAAGATACAAAAAGAACGTGATAAGGCCCATATCACTGCAACAGAGGAACCAAGCTGTCAAATAGTAGAGAAAATTATGGAGTCCATGAAAACTGGAGGAGGAGAAAACTGCGGTGAAAAACAGGTGTTGCATGAAACGAAGTTACACAAGGAATGTGATAAGACCCGAATAACAGAAGTAGAGGAACCAAATGGTGAAGAGAAGGAGAAAATTGTAGTGCCTATGATAAGAGAGTCCGTAGATGTTCCAGAGATTGATAAAGAACAACCTGACAAGCTAGAGAGCCAGGAGAAACCATACAAAATTCAAAAAGTGGTGGAAGCGGGACTCAGTGACCATAAAGAAGAAAAGGTAACGGCCAAGGCAGAACTGGAAATTGAAAGAGAGAGCTCAAAAAAGGTTGAAGAGACTGAACAACAGAAATATGATGGACCAAAGATGCAAATTACAGAGGAAAAAAAGAAAACTATAGCTGTGGAGGAGAACGAGATTGTGGATAGGAGAACAACAACTGAAGATTGTAGCTTGACAAAGGTTCGAGATGATGAAGATCAAGAATCGAGTAAAACTTATAAGAGTCAAAAAGAAGATAAGACCCATGAACTAGTGGAAATGGGAACAAGTGATTACAGAGGAAAAGCCAAGAAACAAGATGAGAACGATATTTTAAGAAGCCAAGAGGATTTAGATGAATTTGAAAGACATGGTGAGCAAAGCAAGGTTCCTCAGTTAGTAGAAGAAGAAAAAGTGGAGAACATTACTGAGCTAGGGGGGGAAATGGAAGAAGCCAGTTCAGGCAATTTTCATGAGTATGAAGAAGAAAAATCATATGAAGATTTAGTTAAAGAGGAAGAAACTTATCTTAAAGATAAACACACTGGTGGAGAAGACTATGATGATTGTAAAAAGGAACAAAACCAAGAAAAGACTATTGTTAAGGCAGAAGTGAAAACTGAGGAAGATAGCTCAAAGAGGGTTCAAGATACTGAAAAACAGGGATATGATGAGTTGCAGATATCTATGGTACAAGAAAAAATTCAAGAAACAGAGGAAAAAGACAAAACTAGAGTAATGGAGGAAAATGAGCTTGTGAAGAGGAGGAAAAAAACTAAAAATGAAAGCTTGAGAAAGGTTCGAGAAGGTGAAGAAGATCAACAATTGGGTAAACAGAAGAGACATGGGGAAAAAGACAGGATCCAGGAGTTAGTGGAAACAGAATTAAATGATCACAGAGGAAAAGTCAAGAAAAAAGATGGAGATGATGTCTTAAAAAGCCAAGAGACTGTGAAACTGGATTTAGGTGAACGTGAGAGACATTTTGAGCATAGAAAGATTCATAAATTAGTGGAAGATGAACACACAGGAATAGGAGAAGAAGAAAGATATCAGAAAGTTTCACAGGCTAAGACAAAAGTTGAAGATGAGATCGACAAAACAGTAGGGGAGAACAAAGAACCAGAACCGGAAAAACAGGAGCGAGACGATACACTGGACAAATCGGAAGGAGTACTAAAAGAGGAAGCAAGTGATCGTGAAAAAGATGATTTTACGACAAAGATTCAAGAAACTGAAAGAGAAGAGCTCCATCAATTGGAGATGCAGGAGAAACAAGACATGGTCCCAGATTTTGTGGACGACGAAACAGAGAATCAAAAAGATGAAGAGGCAGAGGAAGCTGCAGATGCAGTGGCAAGCAATGCGAACAGAAGTTCAAGAATGGGTCAAACAATTGAAGAAGAATCAGAAAAACACAAGGAACAAAACAAGATCCCTGAAACAAGTGATCATAAATTGAAAGAGACAAAAGAGGAGGTTCCCGAGTCAAGAAATGTCCGAGAGACAAAAGAGCTAGCAGCACATTTTCAGGAACTTGAAGGAAAAACAAAGAACTGCAACGATGATGATGGAGAAGGAAGGAGAGGAGAAAAAGGAAAACAAGAAAAGATGGCTGAGAATTTCGAGTCAAAAAGTGACGACGGTATTGTGAGAATGAATCAAGAGACCAAAGTGCAAGAATCAAATGAGAAGAAAAATCAAGAACAGAAAGGCAAGATTGAAGAACCAGAGAGGAAAAAATGTAGTATTCATGAGGTAAAGTTGGTGACTGAAGATGATAGCCTTAGAAAAGGTCAAGAGATTTTGGAAAAGGGGTCAAATGTGTCAAAGAGAGGACCAGTGAAACAAGAAAAAATCCAACAACTGAAGAAGGTAGAAACCCAAGATCTAGTAACTGAAGGTGAAGAACAAGCAGAGGTAAATGAGAAAATTGCAGAAGAGTGGAAGCAAGATAAGACTGACAGCACAATTAATAACCCAGAAGAACCATATGAGATCCAAGAAAGTAGCAATATCCAGGAATCAGTGGAAAAAGAAACACAGAACCATAGAGGAGAAGAAATGAATGAAAGGGGAGGATATAATGCAGTGCTCAAGAAAAAATCTAAGTCTTCAAGTGAGTCTCAAGATGTTGAAGAACAAGGATCAGATCAGCCAAAGAGTTATGCAGAACAGGAACTAATGACTGAGGAGGAGAGACAAGAAGAATATTCTATAAGAGAAGGAGAGCAGAAGGAAAAGGCAAAGAGAATGTCACAGGTGGATTCTATAGCTAATGACAATAGCTCCAAGAAAAATCATCAAGAACTGGTTGAAATAGAAACTATTGACCAGAGGAAAGAAGAATTAGAGGAGGAGAATGATGCTGGGAAAGCAGAGACAACAGATGAATATGATAGCTCAAGGAAGATTCACGGACACGTAGAACGAAACTCAGATAAACTAGAAAGATATGGGGAAGAAGAGATGAGCAAAAAACTTGCAGAACAGGAAACAAGCGATGATAAAGAAGCCAAAAAAGGAATCAGAGCAGGGGGAGTATGGGAAAAGGTGGACACTAAAATCAGGGCTGATGGCTTTGGAAAGGTAAGAGAGATTGAAGAACAAGAGAAAGACAAGAAGCACTCGTATGTGAAAAAAGGCATAAGGGGTAAATCAAAAGAGAACAAGAATCACGAGACAAAAAGGAGAGATGATAGCTCCGGGAATAAGATTCAAGAAAATGAAAAACAAGAGCCTCATGAACAAAAGAGAACTGAGGAAGAGAAAATAGAAGAAAATGAACATGATAGCTCAAGGAAGAGTCATGAGCATGACGAACGCAAGTCAGAGAAAATGAGAGAAAATATTGCAGACGAGGAAACAAACGATGATAAAGATGCCAAAGGAATTAGAGCAGGGGCAGTATTGGGAGAGATTGAGAAACACGAGCAAGACAAGAAGAAATCATTTGTCAACACAAGTGGTAAAGCAGAAGAGAACAAGAATCAAGAGACAAAGAGGAGAGATGATAGCGCAGGAAGTAAGACCCAGAAACAAGAGTCTCATAAGAAAAATGGTCATGACAAACAAGAAAAGAACCTGGGACTGGTGGGGGAGAAAACAAACTGTTGCAGAAATGAAGATGATGTTAAGGAAGATAAAGAGATTGCAGATGCAGAGGTGCCAAGAAAGTTAAAGGGGACTGAAAAACGAGAATCAACAAAAAAGGTGGAAAGACATGAAAACCGAGATGACATCACAGAATTGGTGGAAGACAAACTGAACAACAAAGAAGGAAAAGACAACATGCGCATATTGGCAAAAGCTGAAGACGCTGAACCGAAAGGACCTGAAGAATTGAGGAAACAAGAGAAAAGCAGGGAGCAAAGACTAAGAGATAACCTTAAATATGAAGAAACGGCAAAGACAGAAACAGAAAGAAAGGATAATGAATCAAGAAAAATTCATCAGGTCAAAGAAGAAGAAACAGATGAGAAAGAAAGATTTAAAGATCAAGGAAGGATCAAAGAATTGGTAGAAGACAGTACACATACTTGCAGAGAAGAAGAAAACAGAGAAACTGAATTTGAAGATGGTTGCTCGAAAAAGACTCAAGAGAGAGACAAAGAAGAACCAATTGAACCAAGAAGAAACGAAAAAGGAGAAAAGATCCAGGAACCAGTGGATAAGGAAACAAGTGAAGATGATCACGAAGAAGAGTTAGAAATTGAATTTGAAGACGAAGAAGAAGACTGGGAAGCTGAAGTAATTCAAGAAACAGATGAAGATGAAGATGAAGAAAGTGATAAAATTAGACAAATAAAAAGAATCAGATTAGGATTCCGGTTAGTAGGAGGATCAACATTGTTTATGTCACTTATAGTCATAGTTATTAGTTTCATTCGTTCCAAGAGAAAAATAAAATGTTACAATTTCTAACCAAAGCACATTATCATGTATTTTATTTATTCAATGAAATCAAGATCCAAACTGCTTACATTACCATGATACGCTTCAGCCTCTTTATAGAACACAAGAGGATTCAGCTTACAACTTCAAAACCTTACTTAGAGAACTCAATGACCCATAAATGATATGCGCGGCATACAAAGTCGCAACGCAGAAACCCCGAATTCGCAGCCATAGCTTCAAACTCAGCCTGTGACCTCTCTTTTCCTCCAGATAATTGAGTAAGCATCAACAAATCCATGTCAAAGGCAATGTTGGACTGCACATCATTGTTCTCTGCTTCATCCGGAGTTACTATCTCCATGACAATCACTTTCCCATTCTCAGGTAATGCTTTCCAACAGTTCTTCAGAATCTTTTCACAGTCTTCATCAGTCCAATCATGAAGTATACGCTGTTAAACATATTAAGTAAGTAAAAAAAAAACTTGACTGAAATATTAACATATTGGAACAGAGTAGGGTTTGTGGTTGGGTCTTACTTTCAAGAGGATAACATCACCTCTTGGGACATCTACAAACATGTCTCCAGCCACATTCTCAACATTAGGATAAGAAGGAGCTTGTGACAAAGCACAAGTTAGATCAAAATTGATGCCCTTTATGTTTGGATACTTTGCAGTAACAAAGCCAAGTGTGTCTCCAACTCCTCCTCCTACATCAACCAACACATTAACTCCTTCGAAACCTCTATAAACCTGTAAAAACTTCTTCAAAATCCCGACAGAGAATCCGGTTCGGTTAAAGAGTTTGCTTAATCTCTCGTCTTTGCTTATATAGTCGAAGAGTTTCAAACCACCGTGGGCACGACCAAATGCAACTCCTCCTTCTAGCACCACATCTTTCAATTGTGCCCTACAAAAATATATCAGTCACCAAGTTGTTTGTATATATCGATCTTATATTAGAGATCAAAAGAGAATGAAGAAGAAAAAAATATTACCATGTGTTGAGGAAGACGCTATCGAGTGATACAATGAACTGAGAAGCAAGTGTTCCCAATTCTGGATCAACATTATCTTTCAAGAAATAGCGACAAATTGGCTCGGCTCTGTAGACCCTCACACCTTCGACGACTTGGCACTTGACGATGGAGTAGCTAGCAAGTAAACGTAGCATACGGTCTAGCAGAGCCGGTGCTTCAGGGTTAGTAGGCTTTGTGGGAAGCCGTGACGCTATCTCACAAGGTGTGAGGAACAAACCGGATCCAGCGACGTAGAGAGTGTCAATGACACCGAGCTCGATGGCGGCTTTGAAAACCATCGGAAGGGCTGTGCAATTGGCTAGCCTAACCGCCGCCAAACCAAGCTCAGTATCACCATCATCACCACCGATTTTAGGTATTTGAAGAAGTAGGTGCCCCATTTTTGTTTCTGATCTTACTTTCTTCTCCGTCAAGGTACTGTTTTAAAATGAAACGACAGAGAATTTTTACTACATTGTGTTATCAGTTTTGTCTCCTTTTGTAGCCGAATTGCGCAAGTCACCGAACTGAATTAATGTTTAACTTTCAATATTATACTTAATTTGTCGACTTGGTCATTTTACCAACTGGATTCTATATTTGGCTGTAGATAGTAACGTTTCATATGGTTGAATCGATTGAATTATTTCTTATAGAATTGGTTGAAAAAAGTTGACAAAACATCATTTAAGTAAATATTACTTGTTCGTTTTCGAAAAAAGTAGAACTGGTTTAAAATAGTTAAAGATGACATAATTGTGAAAAACTGTGAGGAAACGGCAAAAAACGGAGCCTATTGATGATAGATCCAAATACTGAATACATTGTTAAGCTATTAACTTATTTTGTTAAATGGTGGTCCTTTATACACTTGCTTGTATATTTGTTTTTAATGACAATTAAGTCGGATAAATATCTTGATTAGATCTGTAATAGCGTATATCTATATCATTACACCCTCCCAAATTATTTTCCATTTCTCATCGCATATTAGTATTGCTGTATTACACCTTTCAACTTTGCATCAGAAACGAGTGATCAGATCAACAAGTCAAAGACTATTGGTGTCTTCCAAAGATTGGGTCAAATGGGTCTAACGGAAAGAGCTCAAACTTATTGGCCCATTTCGTTGAGGCCCGTTTTGTTTCAGCCTATTTTCGGTAATACAAATAGTGAAGACTCACTCATCAGTCCAAGTACTCAATTTGTTGTGTTTCAATATTCTCTCGAATCAATTTTTTTTTTTTGTAAACAAGAATAGATTTTCATAAAATAAAATAAAAAACTGTGTTTTGATTTGGTTATATTCGAAGAATATACGTAAGAGAAAAGAATATTTTGTTTCTTTAATTTGTTGGTTATAATGGAAGACAAAACGAGACAACACGTAGTCATTACATTAAAATGAAGCCTTGAAATGGAAAGCATGATGAACCGTCAAATCTTAATCCTCCACTAAAGAAGTTGTCCCATACACAATACATGTTCCTATTATTTGGTTTTTAAAGATAATATAAAGTTGAAACTTTTCCTCAATCAAGTGATAATAGTATATAACACTAACATATTAGGATTTTCACGGCTATTAAAACAATGGATAATATCAAATCAAAGTAATTAAAAACTAGCTATCACAGTCTAATAAATAAACTTAAAATGGTAAATTAAAATGCATTCTAATGTTGAAATTGTTGATATATATGTCTACGCCGCATGCATGCATACAAGTAAAAATAGAAAGGAAGCAATCTAGCTAAGTATAAAGGGACGACAGTTGTATATACATCATTATTATGACTTATGTTACAAGAAACTGTGTGATGTTATCTTTAATATAAGAAAAAGAAGTGTGATCTTATGTGTCTACTATGTTCGCAACACTTACTAATTATCTAATATATTCCAAAATAAGAAAAGAAAAAAAGAAGGAAAAAAAAATCAAATCTATAGGAATGTATTAATCGACCGTAGTGGCAAGGTGAGGATAGACGCAGGCGAGTACGTATGCATGTTGTTTGAGTGATATGTACACAGCTATACATATCATATAATACTGATTTATATAAAAGGTGTTTGTAGTTAAAATCAACTAATTATTTAATCAGAGACTGCAATAAAAGTGATAGTAGGATGTGGATGAAGGCGAGTGGTGGAGTATGTACAAGTGTGGTGGTGATGGTGAAGGATGGTGCTCTTCGTGTGGCAACCACACTCTTCCTCTTTCTTTACTTATCAATCTCTTTCCATTTTTTTATTTTTTTTATCTCATTCTAATCTTTCCAAGTGCTTTCCAATTCATCAATCCATTTCTTTATTATATGTTTTCTTCTTTAACAAACTTATTTTTGTATTTCACGAAACCCTACTTTCACCTGTTCACTCTCTATTTGTTGTTTATAGGTTTCTCTCTTTCAAACGGATCATCGTTGTGGTCTCCAGGGGCTTTTAAAACATCTAAATCCCTTTTTCTTATTATAAAATAATTGGATTGATGAAACGCTCATAAGTTGTTACATATTAAAACCAGACACATAATAATTTAACTGCATGCATTTCTACTATATATGCATCGTTGAAAGGATTTAACTGCATTTCTAATTTAACCTTCATCACCCACGCATCATAAGTTGTTACATATTAATTAAACCAGACACATATTAATTTAACTGCATTTCTAATTTAACAGACACATAACAAACATAACTCCCAAACCAAACATTCCCTATTCAATACATATGCATAGTTTTTTGTGTGATATTATATCCTTTCAAATGTGCTAACATTTGGTCAAACGCTACAAAAGTCTAAAATCATTGATAACTTTTGGTCAAACATTACTAAAATTTAGAAATTAATTGAATAGTTTGATTTATAAGCTACTCAACGCCCCCTTCCTTTTCTCCTTTTTCGGTTCATTTCTTTGTCAAAGAAAAAAAGTATAAATAACTCCAACAAAAGAAATTAAAAGTTTACAATAGTAACCAGGAAAAAAAAATATTGATACCTCAATTTTTAGTAAAAAGGAAAAAGATCTCTGTGTTGACATTTTTCAACTTATCTGTTGGGATTGATACATGTATACACTGTATATATAACATTTTTCCAAAAAAATTCACTTACGTACATGATTTCATATAGTATAAATAACTTAAAATGACTTTACAAAACATGATAATAGTATGGATAGAATCAGTAAGTACTGGATGAGGTTTGATCATATAAATATGCTCAAGAAAATAGGGGTTAAAAGGTTGCGTATACAAATGGATCAAGTTGAAGTTTCCTTTTCCTTTTTTTTATATGTTCTGTTCTTCTTTTTCCCTAGAAGACATGCATCATGCATGCCTTTGATTGTGAAGACGACAGAACAGCTTCTTATGTAACTGCCTTTTTTGGCCTCACTAAGTGTTTTTTTTACTCCTCTTATATCTATCTATAAAAATATCAAGAAACACACACACAAACATATAATGTGGTTTTATCTGTAATTAAATGTTTTGTTCTTTTACGTACAATTTAATTCTGAAACGGATCGATTTCTTAATAGAAACAAAGTTTTGTAGTACTATATATTTTCCCCCTGGCCTATATATGCTGATCGTACGCAGATGACCATTTCCAAATTCATATTAAAGATGATTATAGCTTTGTCTAATCATTACTTATTTCAACATGCATAATGAGCATATGTGCGGTAGTATGGTACAATTCTCCGGGATCTTAGAGCATCCTCAATGCATAATCCTTAAAAGTGGATCTTATGCCTTTACTTCCAGTTTTTGAACTTATATAAGGTACGTACCTTATAAATTTTGTTGAATTATGTATTAAATTTTAATCAAAATTAGCTTAAGAACCAGCTTAAGGATCAGCATTGAGGATGGTCTTATATCATCGGGTAGTTTACGTGAATGAAACTCGAAACAAAAATGATTGTATGTTCAGATTCTCACCTTATATATATGTCAAATGTTATTAAATCAGACAATAAGTTTATATGATATTTACGATTATTTATCAACAACTCTTATCATCCATTAATTTTGGGTCTTTTATATACTTAGAGGCAATATTTCATGCAAACTTAAAAACAAAGCTATCGTCCACATATGCCGATAAGTGTAACAAAAAAGTATAAGATTCGTATCCGTACATACCAATTTAGTTTGAGGATTCGTATTAAGTTCGTATCATTAATATAGACACGAAAGTATATGCTCGCTCAATTTGGTATATAAGAGAGCAAGAAAAAAAAATCCAACTCTATCAGTTTATAACATCGATCCAAAATTAAACAATATTTTAATTTTATAATTTGGCTTTCTTCTACAAACATTGTTTTGTAACTAATAGTACCAAGCCATAACTTATTTTTTTTTCTTTTGAATTTAGCAAATTAATAAACCAACAACAAAAATAAAATTTAGTGGTGATGATGATGCTCCACATATTGTCTCCACCAAACCAAAAAGTGAACCTGAAAAATCTCCATAAATAGAACTCAACCTAGGCGTGTGTTCTCCACACTTGCTCGATCCTCTACTAAACAAAACAAAACAGACAAAGAGATAGATCATCAAGTTTTCCAAAAACATGGATCAGCTATCCCACAACACTAACATGGACATAGAGAAAGAATCAGCAACCTTCGACTACTCAAAACGTTCTCAATGGCTACGCGCCGCCGTTCTTGGAGCCAACGACGGTCTTGTCTCCACCGCTTCGTTGATGATGGGTGTCGGCGCCGTGAAGCACGACGTCAAGGCCATGATTCTATCAGGATTCGCCGGGATGGTCGCCGGAGCTTGTAGTATGGCTATAGGAGAGTTTGTCTCCGTTTACTCTCAGTACGACATAGAGTTGGCGCAGATGGAGAGAGAAAGTGGAGAGATAGAGAAAGAGAAGCTTCCTAGTCCGACACAAGCGGCTGCTGCGTCCGCACTTGCGTTTTCTGCTGGTGCGATTGTGCCGCTTTTGGCGGCTGCGTTTGTGAAGGAGTACAAGACGAGGATCATTGCGGTCGTGGTGGCGGTTACTGTGGCACTAATGGTTTTCGGGTGGCTAGGAGCGGCACTAGGGAAGGCACCAGCGGTTAGGTCATCGGCTAGGGTTTTATTTGGAGGTTGGTTAGCTATGGCGGTTACGTTCGGGTTGACGAAGCTTATTGGGTTGCATGGACTGTAAAAAATTGTTGTTTGTGATGAAAAATCTTTGATATAAGATTTTAAAGGTAAGTGTTGTCAATCCTATAACGGATTTTAATTAATTAGTTCGAAACTCATGAAACTACTTAGCTTACTTGTATGTTTTAAACAAATTTAAACTCTTCTACTTTAAAACGATCTTCATATATATTATAGCTAATGAATCAAAATGGTATTTTAATTAGAGAAACATGCAATAATCGTTTTGTCGGTCATTATTAATATGTAAGAGAGGGTGTTGCAACTCATACGGGTTGTTTTACCCCTTCGTAGGTTTGTCTCTAGTCTCTACCTATATATGTAGGGCTTGTATCACCACCTATGGAGAATTGGTATATAACTTTTTTCGATGGACTAATCTTGTAACCGCTATTCATCCTGCAACAAATTCATGAAAACAATCAAAATTGTTATCGCTTTTTCTAACTTTTTCAATTTTAATGTTTTAATTTAGTGAATGGACCAAAAACAAATTAGAAATTAGGTTTTTATGTTCTAATTTTTTTTTTATATATAAGACCATTTTTATAGATTATATAATCATAAACTGTAAACCTAAACAATTTTCATTTTTTATAAACTATTTATCTTCTTCGTAAAAAAACAGATATGAAAATTGCCGGCCAAAATATTTATTTGACGGAAAAATAATGTTTGTAAAGAATATATAAAGGAACAAATTATATAAATACAGTAAAGGAATGGACCAGAGAGTTTCAAAACATCACTGATAACATTGAACATAACATATCAATGATCTCTACAACATCCATAAAGTGAAAAAGAGAGCTACTTTAAAAATTAAAAACTGTTGTCGTATACACTACAATCTTATGTACTCATCAGTATATATAGTTCCATTCATGCTTTCACATCTCCACAAAAGGAGGAGGCGAGGAGCATTGCTTTTAGTTACACGCACCCCAAATTATTATTATTACGAATAAAAATAACATTTCTCATCTAAAGAACTTCCATTATCGTGAAAAACCGTTATAATAAGTAAATGTATACAGGTTCATGTACTGATGATATTAGATGTGATTTTTTTCATTTTTGTAACCATTTTTCTAAAATCAAAACTCAAGATTTTGTACCACACAGCTGAAGGGTACATGATTAGACGCAAACATTTTATTAGAATATTTTTCCTTTGTCAACAAAAATGGAAATAAGTCAAAAAGGGCATATAAGATGATACGTGTATATATCTCTCAAGACTCAAAAGGCTCTTCTTTCCCTGAAGATTTGCCAGCGTGAAAGATTTTCTTCAGGGAGAGAAGAAGAAAAAAAGCAAAAAACAAAACACTCTTTTGTCTCTCTTTAATCTCTCTCAAATCTTCTGTGAATGCTTCAGTTAGAAGCAGGAAGATGAATCTGTTTGTTCTGCATCGACGCAGACACGACATAACAAGGCCTTTGAGTGTTTCAAGCTCCAAAATACACATTATAATGTTCAGGGGAATCTACTGTATCTTGAAGATGTTCTTCAGTTTCACAACTAGCTTCCATTCTTCTATCGATAATTCATCCTGCGATTATTTTGGGTTTTGATTTAGATCCAAGGCTTTTTCTTGTTTTTGTCAAAATGATGATTTCAGGAAAACCCCTTCCTGGGGAAACAACTTACCCGGTAGTTAGTTTTGAGTATGTCAATAGATCTCCTCGAAATGTGACTCACAAGTTCATCTTCCATGTCAAAGTGCCTTCCAAACATCTTCTGTTCTTCAGCATTCGAACCAACAATCTGTGTACCAAAGAAAGCATTCTTTAGAAGATGAATACGTAAAGCTTAAACAGCAACAACCAATAACTCTTTTCTATCTGTAAACAAATGCAAGCTTTGTTGAACATAAGGATCCCATTATTACCTTTATTGCCACCTTGTTGCCCTTCTTGGCATAGTCAACAGGCTTGTGGTTGTTCTCAATCGAGGCAATGCGGCCAATATCTATAAATTCCCTGCCAGGGACACAAATGGGGGTCCCGATCTGAAAACAACAAAGACAGGTCAGAGAGTGTGAACCCTAGGACTAACGTCGCCATGTGTGAGACTTGCAGAAAACGTAGGGAATTAAACATATCATACCTTAAGTATACCCTCGACAACATCAACACCAAGGACTATTGGGTCTTTCTTATTGAAGACACAGTTAGGCAAAATCTGAAGGACACAAGGGAAGACTGCTTCATCCGCTGATTCCTTCTTTTTCTCTTCTTTTATATTCTCAATGTAAGCCTTAAATTGATCGAATAGATGATATATGATATCAGCGCAGAAGATTTTAACTCCCATTTCGTCAGCAAGTTCCCGAGCCTCTGTAGTCACTTTCACGTCAAAAGCCAAAATTGTAGCATATTCCTTTTTCCTCTCAAGCATAACTCCCGCCTTCATTATATCCTTCTTATGCACCGGCCCTATGCCAATACCACTGACAGGTATCTTTACAGCTGGGGTCTTCAAGAATTCAAGCAATGCTTCCAAGGACCCTAATGTAGACGCTTGTACATACACTCCTTCACCACTTTTGTCGATCCTGCTCAAAACTGACTCCATATCTTCCATAGCAGACTCCTTAATTGCCTCGATGTCATCATCAGGTCCAACCACATGCAGGGCAGTACCAGCAATTGCGTGTTCAAGCCCCTTTAAGACATAACCCAAAATTGGGAAACAATATTCAGGATGTGATCCAACATCAGTAAATTCAAAACCAGAGGCTAGCAACTAAGATTATTGTAGTGTCAGTCTAATCACCTGCGCAGTAATCTTGATACCCTGTGCAGCCTTTATTTCTTTGTAATGCAAATAAGTACCCTGAAATATCAGACCAAGAATTCTCATTGTTTATATAAAAGGAACCTAGGAAGCTATATGCATGACCATATTTCTGGAGGAATAACAGAAACAAGACACATGAAGTGGAAATCGAGAATACCTTCACCCGTAACTCCTTCATCGGATGAGGAGTCAGTAATGCTCTAATTGTTGTGACAATAGGTCCCTGAAATATGAGGAAGATATAAGATCTTTTCTAAGTTCTATGTATACCCAGTGCATTACTTGTTTAGGCTTGGAACATAAGTTTTTACTTGCCTGTAGCCCACAAACGACGATTTGATCACCTTCATGGAGTTCACCATTTACCAACACAGCATCAATTGTTGTTCCATGGCCTTCAATAACTTTGACCTCAAGGACAGTACACTGTTCAACAATTTCAAGAAAGGATCAGAATCCTCATGCTGAAGTATTGCAGAAACAAGTGTTACCTAAAGGAGAAAGGAGAAAGACCTGCACTTCGTCGACGTATGTAAGTTTCTCAACCATTGTTTTCTGAGCCCATTGAACCAACCACAGCAAGAGATCTGGAACCCCTTCCCCACTAAAATATCAAGAACCGACGTTACCCAACTATTTCAGATGAATAACTTGTCTGTTATGCAGTAAATTACAAAGAGTAAACAGAGATTTATACCTAATAGCACTAGTAGGAACAATACTGATAGTTTCTCCCATGTCTTTATTCTTGTAATAAAGCTCAGTGTTGAGTCCTTGCTCCTGGAACTGGTTTTTAGTCTGGAATACAAATGAAAAAACATAATTTGAACAATATGTACGCAAAGTGATATACATAAGAAACTCTAAACGTATTATAACATACCTCCTTCAGCTTCTGGTTAAACTCACTTGTAACATCTTTATTTTGTTGCTTCAATGCCTTTACAATGGGAGAATTCTTGCATCTTTGCCATCCATATAGCTTATCCACCTGTACGTGGAAGGTTTAATTTTCCATTGAAGTATTTACAGCATAGAACAAAATATCCTAGCAGAATGACAAGCAGTCTCACCTTATTCAATGCAATGATGAACTCTGTATTCCTCATTCTCAACAGATTTAGAGATTCTATGGTCTGTGGCTCTAACCCATGCATTATGTCAACCACCAAAATTGCAATGTCGCACAAACTTGAACCTCTTGATCGCAGATTCGTGAAGGACTCGTGGCCAGGTGTATCAATAACCAATAGACCTGGCACCTTGAGTGTTGCATCGGCTTTCAGTTCCTTGGTCCTCTCTCGGATGTTCTCCGCAGGGAAATATGTTGCACCAATTTGCTGAGTAATACCTCCAGCCTCGCCTTCCTGAACATTTGTTCCTCTGATGCAATCCAACAGCTTTGTTTTACCAGTATCAACATGACCCATGATGCAGCAAATAGGAGACCGCAGATTTTCCTCGCCCTCTAGAGATTCACTGGGAGCTAAACCTTTACCCTTCTTAGAGGCATCTTTTGCTCGGGTAGCACGTTTTGACCGCGTAGCATCTTCCTCTTCATGTACAGCTTTTACAGCAGCTGTTGTTGGCTTGCCCATACCTGCTGGTTTAGCTGTTGGCTTTTCAGATTCAGGGTCTGTGTAGAAATTCAAACGATTAAGACTAATATCAGACACTGGATGAAACAATAGGAAGACAAACAAATAACAACATTTTATTCTAACCTGAATCATGTGCCTTTGATATAGCATCCTTTAATTCCTTCTTAACCACAGGCTGAGCTTCTTCCTCTTCATCATCAAAATCACCTTTGAGGTTAAGATCAACAGTATCCCAGCTTTTTGCATCCCATTCATCTTCTTCATCATCTTCCTTAGCCTCATTCTCCTGAGCTACATCAGCAGTTTCTAATTTCTCGTCTGTGTTTGCTGACTCTATTAAATCAACCTTTTCAGTGTCTGCTGAACCCCCTTCACCTAAAGGATCTCGTTCATCTGCATGATTCTCTTTTGGTTCTACCTCATCTTCCACCAGAACAGAAGTGTCATTGCCTTTCTGGCGAGATGATTTTTTCTTGTTGGCATAAATGGGACGCTTTGATGAAGTAGCCTCACCATCATTATCTGCGACAGGAAGACCTCCACCAGCAGCCAGGAGCTGATTCTTAAAAGCCTCCCTCTTAAGAGCTTCAGTCCTTTGCTTTGCTGTTAGAAGCTTGCCCTCTTGCTTCTTCCTCAACAGTTTCTCCTTCTCCTTTTCCTTTCTCTTACGCTTAGCCTCCTCAGCTTGCGCCTCAAGCTCTTCCTGCCTCCGGCGCTCCTCTTCCTCCTTCCTCAATTTTTCTTCTTCTTCCTTCTTTTGTCGCTCTTCCGCTTCTTGCCGCCGTGCAAGAGCCTCTTGCATCTCTCTAACATGTTTGGGAATCTTTTTCTCTGCTGCTTTACCCTTTGCATCCTTCTTCTTTGGCTGTTGTGGCTCAGTTATAGATTCTTCTTGTTTTTCCTCCTTAGCCTCTACAGAAGAGGTTGCTGCAGCAGATGCTGCTGCTTTTTTTTCTTTCTCTTTTTCCTTCTTCTTTTTCTTTTTCTTTGCTGCAGCACTCTCAACAGTCTCTTCTGCTCCTTCCTTCTCACCAGCATTCTCTACCGGTGTAACTGCCCCAGGCTGAGCTTGAACTTTCTCTTCTTGGGGCGGCAATGAAGCAGGTCTTCCAGCAGCAGGGGTTTCTCCAAGTTCTGCAAGAAGTTTGTCCAAGTCGTCCTCTTCCTCTACTGTCCTTCCACTCTTATTATTCTTCTTCTTTTTCTTACTCTTTCCAGTTTCTACAGCCTCCGCACTCTTAGTTTCAGACGTTTTAGCTTGACTAGTTTCGTCAGCAACTGAGTCATCACCTAGTGAGGCCAAAACACTGCCGCCCTTCTTTTTAGAAGATTTCTTCTTACCTGAAAACGTGATTTCAGGGCTCTCCTCATCTTCATCTTTGCCAGGTCTAGAGGTTAAGGCATCTGTCTCTTCTTCCTCATCAAGCAAAGCAGCACTAAATGAATTAGTGGTGGTCTTCTTAGCAGATTTGGAGGACTTCTTTTTCTTACCAGAGAAGGTGATAGGAGACTCTTCTTCTTCATCATCATCCTTAGCATCATCATCATCATCACCAAGCGCATCAAAAGCTGATGCCGCAAATGAATTACCGCTTTTTTTACCCTTGTTAGAAGCATGCTTCTTACCAGTAAAACTTATAACTGGCTCATCATCTTTGTCAGCATCAGATTCATGATCCTCTGCATCGTCCTTAACATCTTCATCATCAAGCAAGGCAAAGCTAACAGCGGCAGCAGCACCCTTCTTACCTTTGGACTTCTTCTTGCCAACAAAAGCAATCTCCGGAACATGGTCTTCCTCGGCAACGGAAAGCTTATCAGGAAAATCATCATCGTCATCTAGCTGGGCACCCTTCTTATTACCTTTCTTACCCTTCTTCTTGCCAGTGATAACAACCTTGTCTTCCTCAACAACTTTAGGCTCCTCGGAGAGCTCAGTACCAATAGAGTATTCATCGTCATCGATTTTAACAGCCTTCTTCTTAGATTTAGTAGCACCAACGAGAGATGACGCAGCAGGTTGCGTCTCATCTTCTCCAGCACGAGCACTCGGCTTCTTCCGACCCATTGATAAATTTAAGGGTCGGTTCAAAATTCTTCCGAATAACCAAATCCAGGCCTACAGTATAACGGAAACAAAATTAGGTTTTCAGATCGGCACAACACAATCCTTTTAGTAAACGAAACCACAGGAGAGACTGTGGCTAGGAAAGAGGAGAGAATCGAAGGAAGCTTTACCTTATCTCAGAGAGGAATTAAGCGAGTTCGTTCTAGAGAGAGCGCGGCGTTGTAGACAAGGAGAGACTAAAAACAACAATAGAGAGAGCCAAAACAAAAACCGGCGTGAAGCTTCCTTAGGGTTTGATTACCGATTCTAAAATAAGTCTGTGTTTTTGTAACCGGTTGTTAAATATTTTTCTCCGTTTTCTTTTCGACAATATCAGCTCTAATTTGGTTTTTTTTCCTTTTCCCCTTTTTAATATAGTCATCTCATTTTGTTATTTTTTTTTTTTTCCTTTTTTCGTCAAATAATATTTTGAATGAAATTGGAAGAACTGGTTAGTAAGTTGAAACACAAATATATATCGATAATTTAAATTCATATTTTAATTATATAAATGATTCTAGGATCGAATGATATTAAATTTAATTTAACGATGTAAAATGAATCAAAATCATTGAAATATCCATGATATAAACTATGAAATGACCAGTAAATCATCATAATTTTTTAACAAATATATAAGGTTTCTGTTTTGGTAATATACACGAATAAAAAGTTGGTAGGTAGTGTAATATTCTCTTTTTGGGGAAATCATCATGTAAACATTCAAAAGATTGTGCTAGAAGTTCTTTTATAAGCACATTTCTAAAACATACATTGAGACAAACACATGAAACGATATGATTCAAAAGTCCCAAAACAATTAAAGCTTCCAGGTTATACTTTCTCAACATTTGGACCTCCCAGACAGCCTTGTAAAAGTCGGGGATCTAGAATGCAGCTATATCATACATATACTCACCACAAAACATATTATGCCACAATAGGGCGAGTATCATGTTCCTATGAATCTTTATAACCAGCTCATAGAAGAACATACAGTATTAGAGTATTTATCGTCCCTCATACTCTTGACTTTTACACCAATTTTTTTACAGGTCTTGCCTCGCTAGAATTCAATCAGTTCCAAACTCTTGTTGTAGTAGTAGTCTACTACATCTCAACAAAGATCACTCAAACAATTAGCTATAACTCTCTTATGAGAGTATATGGGACGCTAATCCTAAAAATTAAATGAACATGGGAGAGTTGGTAAAATTAAATCTGAAAATAAAAATCAAGTTACCGACATTATGTCTGACCAAATTATTCCGCCAAAGCCACCACACCGGAAAAGATAGATTTATATCTTAACATCGCCCATGTTTTTGATTTTTCTTCGCCGGTACACACCTTTTTATCTCTTAAAATCAATATTTTCGGGAACAAAATATAATAAAAAAACAAACTGAAAATTCCAAATCGAAAAAAGCTTCTCAGATCTCTCAAGACAGCTCAAGGCGGAGGAGACTTAACGATCATCTGAAATCACCGAAACATGTCCAGCGATAGCAACGATCTAGACGAAGATGAGCTTCTTCAAATGGCCTTGAAAGAGCAGGCTCAGAGAGATCTCACCTATCAGAAGCCTCCTTCTGCATCTGCTCGCAAGCCTGTTGCCAATTTAGTGCAGCAGCCTCGTCAGCAGAAGCCTGCGCCTGCCGCTCCCCCGAAGAAGTCTGCCGCGGCTGTTAGGAAACCTTCTATGGATGAGGATGATGAGTCGGAGGTCGAATTGCTTAGCATTTCTAGCGGGGATGATGATTTGGAGAGGGAAAGGGAAAGAGCTGGTTCCGGTGCCGGTGCCGGTGCCGGCGCCGGGAGAGGAAGAGGTAGCGATGTTCGTGAGAAGGGAAGAGCGAGGAAGGAGGATGATGGTGCTTGGGATGGAGAGGAGCCTGATTGTTGGAAACGGGTTAATGAAGCTGAGGTACTTATTTGTGGCAAGAGTAATCAGTGAATGCTAGAAATTGGCTGCAATTTGTGCTTGTTTCACTGCTATCTGACATAGGCTAATTTGATAGAAATTTCACTCTCTTAGTTAGTTTCTAGTGTGGCCGAACTCAAGGTCAAGGCTATACCTTAGTTTGAGCTATAGCATCATGTTGATTTCTCTTTAATAACGATGATATTTTGGCAGCTTGCCCGTAGGGTTCGCGATATGCGGGAATCAAGAACGGCACCCGTGGTTCAGAAAGTAGAGGGTAAAGTCCCTGCACTTGGCAAGAAAGTGGTTCTGACAAGTTTGCAGTCATTCCCTCGGGGCATGGAATGTATTGATCCACTAAAAATAGGGTAATTTCACTCGTTCGTTTTGCTTACATTGGAAAGCCAGTCAGATACTTTATCCTTGGATATGGTAGAACTTATCTAAACCCGAATTTTTCTACTTCGTAGGATAATAGACAATAAGACATTGAGATTAATCACTGAGTCGTCAGGCAGCCCATCAAAAGCTGAGAAAGTGGATAATACTCTTCGGGGTATGTCTTTATTCACCATATCTACTACAACTCGAGTTGAACAGCTCTAACAATAAAATATTGGAGGGCTCATTCGATATTCAATTTCCAGTTGTCTAATTGTTATGTATCCTCTTCAAATTATTTGCAGAAAAGTTGATTTACTTCTCTGATCATTTTGATCCAAAGCTGTTTCTTTCTCGCATTCACCAAGACACGAGTGCAGCAGATTTGGAGGCTGGTGCCCTTGGCTTGAAAAGTGACTTAAAGGGTCGGAATCTGCAAAGGAAACAATTGGTAAAGGACAATTTTGATTGCTTCGTCTCATGTAAAACGACAATTGATGGTATGTATTATTGCTCTCAACTGAATAATTTATCTTTTTCTTGTCTCATTTTCATGTAAACAACTGAATTCTTAATAGATATTGAGTCAAAACTGAAGCGGATTGAAGAAGACCCCGAAGGGTCAGGAACAACTCATTTGTTCAATTGTATGAAAAGTGTGACATCAAGGGCCAATCTTGCATTTGAGCCTCTTTTTGAGAGACAGGTAAGTATGGCTCTAATTTTCTTTTTTGCTTGTCACTCCCTTTGAATTTGCTGAAGCCTTTTTAAAACACTTATAGGCTCAAGCTGAGAAAATCAGGTCTGTACAAGGAATGCTTCAGAGATTTCGTACTCTGTTCAATTTACCCAGTATCATTCGTAGCAGTATTAGCAAGGGTGAATATGATTTGGCTGTTCGAGAATACAAGAAGGCGAAATCTATTGCTCTCCCTTCTCATGTATGCCTAAAATTTTATTTACACTCTCTTGAGACAGATGCTATCCACTTCCATATAAGCACTGGATCTTCTTTATATTACGATTTTGTTTACTTACATAATAAGGCTATTGACAACATAGAAAAACAAGCTGCTTTCAGGTAAATATACTCAAGCGTGTACTCGAGGAGGTTGAGAAAGTTATGCTGGAATTTAAAGGCACACTATACAAGTCTATGGAAGATCCAAAAATAGACTTCACAAGTGTATGTCAGTTATAATTCTTTTTTTTTTAATGTCAACTAGTGAATGAACTGAGCAATCCTTCATTCATATGTTCACCAAATGAATTTCTCATAGCACTGCTATCCTGTCAACATTGCAGTCATCATTTTTAAGTTCCATTAAGAATATCCCCCTTTACATTTTCACTGTTGTTGTACATGAAGAAAATAACTAAAATCATGTCCTTCGTTAATTTCTTCATTGTTCTCATGTGTACAACTACCTGAAATTTTTTCATACTTTCCTCTTGGAAACTTTGAGAAACGAGGCTTGACGCTTTCCAGTTTATGTACTGGCTTGATATCTGAAGTCTATTTTTTATTATAGCTGGAAAACACTGTGAGGCTTTTGCTGGAGCTGGAACCCGAATCTGATCCTGTGTGGCATTACCTAAATGTTCAGGTCGGTATTTTTAAAGATCTCACTCTTTTACCACCCTCAAGAGTAACTTCTAGCTTGTGAAATCATTCATTTGTTTCCTATGATTGCTGTCATCATTTTCAGCTTAGCACCTTATATAATGTGAAAACTGCACCCTTATGTGTGTGTGTGTGTGTGAGTGTGGCTCCCACACTTTTGTTGCAATCATCGTTTATTTCGTGACATTAGCTTGCTTGGATCTTTAATTTACCAGAATCATAGAATCCACGGCTTGCTTGAGAAATGTACATATGATCATGAAGCAAGGGTGGAAATTTTGCGTCACGAGACTCATGAGAAAGCCATCTCGGATGCGAAGTGGCAACAGATTCAACAAAATGGTGTTCCATATGTAAGTCCAGCATTGAGAATGATATATCACTAAAAGACTATTTGAGATTCAGTTCTATAGATGATAACATGCGTTTATTCAATCCTTTAGTCAGATACTGCATCTTCTATTGAAAATCATGAAGTCCAAGTTGACCTGCAATCAGTGGACTTTCCCAGCGAAGAGATTGATACTTTGAAGGGAAGATACATCAAAAGATTGACTGCTGTACTTGTTCATCATATCCCTGTGTTTTGGAAAACAGCTATATCTATTTTCAGTGGAAAATTTGCCAAGGTATTGGCTATCTTTCTGCCTAGATCCCTATGTAGCCCCAAGAGTAGATAAATTCTTCAGTTATCATTCCTTATGCTGAGGCTGGTACCTACTTATTTCTTTCTTGATATGGAGAGAGTTATTCATCTGAATTTAAATTTGAATTTTTATCTGCCCAGTCCTCCCAAGTTACTGATACTTCAGCCAATAAAGCTGAGGAAAAGGTCACAGAGGCAAGGTATTCAACACATTCTTTGGAAGAAGTTGCTGGGATGATACGCAAGACTATTTCTGTGTATGAAGCAAAGGTGGTATCTTTGTTTCCATTTCTAATTAAGAACCTCTTCTGTGGAGCTTCTCTCCACATTGGAAGGACAACCCTGTGGTATCTGTGCATAAAGTGACTCTAAAGATATTCTTTTCCTGACTACTGTTGTAGGTGAACAGCACATTTTGTGATTTTGATGAATCATGCATTCTACGCCCATTTATGAGTGATGCCATCAACGAAGTATCAAAAGCATGCCAAGCTTTTGAAGCCAAAGAGTCAGCGCCCCACAGTGCTGGTATTCGAACTTCTTCTGAAGCTTGAGCTTTTTGTTTAATTTAAGTATAGATGCTATATTACCTTTTTGGTTATTGCAGTCGTTGCATTGAGAAAAGTCCAGGCGGAAATCACTAAAATTTATATCCAAAGGCTTTGCTCTTGGATGAGGGCTTCCACAGAAGGAATATCAAAAGAGGAGACATGGATCCCAGTTTCTATTCTTGAAAGGAATAGATCTCCATATGCCATCTCTTACTTGCCTCTTGCATTCCGTTCAGTTATTGTCTCTGGAATGGAACAAATCAATCTGTAAGATGAATCGTACTTTGGTAACATATCAAAAACATTTGCATCTGGTGGTTGACTACATACAGAAAGGGCATTATTGCTCTTTATTTATTTTTGAGGAAGTGAAAAACCCATTTTTCCATTGTGTCCAGAGTTCCAGACGTCTATCTTTCTAGTACATACATCAGTGTCTAGTCTACTCAGTATACATTAGAAAAAACAAAATGTGAATAGTCGCTAATTGTGATTGTTAATTGTTGTACCATGATTATGACGTGAATAAAATGACCGCGTACCATGTTGTATGATAGGAAACGTGTCTTGTATGCTTTTCATTGCTATTCAGGAAAACTGCATATACAAATGTCTATTTTCAGTTTTCTTATGTATAGTTTGTTTAGCTGTTGATTTCTGTGTGTACCGTTTTTCAGGATGATTCTCTCTGTCAAAGGTGAAGCTGCTAAATCAGAAGATATGTTTGCCCAAATTGAAGAAATCCTGATATCTGTCAGACTGGCTTTTTTGAACTGTTTTCTGGATTTTGCTGGTACGACCTTTTACCAATTTATTTCATAATATCCACATGCATATGCCCACAGCCCAAATATGCACATAAAAAGGCTCATATATGCAAGCAAATGCACAAACTATAGAGTGAGTGATAAATCTGTGGTATGTTAATTTGTTTTCACCATGTATCAGCGCACTTGGAGCAAATTGGTGCTGATCTTTCCCAAAGCACTTCAAGACAAGAAAACTGGAAAAATGGATATTCTGATGATCATCAGGAAGAACCATCAGCCAACGCCTACGGAAGTGTTGTTGATCCTCACAGGCGATTATTGATGGTCTTGAGTAATATAGGTTATTGCAAAGATGAACTTGCTTCTGAGCTTTACAACAAGTTCAAATATACCTGGCTGCAGTCTAGGTTTGTCTCTGGATAATTAATGTCATTAGAGCTCTTCTGTACATAAATAGTTATCAATGTCTTCTCTGGATGGTAACCAATTTGGAGATATGTACACAATTGTATACTGCTCTCCTGAGTGAATTTGTATATGGTTTTAAAATTCACTAGACTAAGTTTTACTTTGTGTTTTCACTTATTCAGGAGTAAAGATGAAGACACTAGCGATCTTCAAGATCTAGTTATGTCTTTCTCTGGTCTTGGAGAGAAGGTCCTCGAGCATTACACTTTTGCTAAGGTATTGATTTTTTTTTCAGCCGTGTTAGCTAAATAATATTTTTTACTACGTGTTAGATATAGAAATTTAAATATCCGAGAATTTCACCTGTAATTAGGCAAATTTGATCAGAACAGCTGCCACGAATTACTTGCTGGACTCTGGTATTCAGTGGGGATCAGCACCTCAAGTGAAAGTAAGAAATATATGCCTAATATTATTAACTGTTAACCTCTTGACTTTAATGAAGAAAAATAAAGACTGAAATATTTACTCCAATCTTCCAGGGCATACGAGATGCGGCTGTTGAGCTATTGCACACTCTTGTAGCTGTCCATGCAGAGGTGATACTATGGCTCTTTATATCAAGAAATTTTACTGATGATTTTTGCTTCATTATTGTTGAATTCTGATGACTGATAATCAAAATTGTAGGTCTTTGCGGGTGCCAAACCCCTCCTGGAGAAGATTCTTGGGGTTCTGATCGAAGGTCTTATCGACACTTTTCTCAGTCTTGTGGAAGAAAACAGATCAAGTGACCTAAGATCAATTGACGCAAATGGTTTCTGTCAACTGATGTTTGAGGTAACTTCTTGTTCTTTTTACAATAAGAGATCCTGACAAATAAAAACCAGATCTCACTCAAAATTATAATGATAAACAATAAAAAGCGAAAACGACTATACAGAAGCAGAAAAGCTTTGTAGATTTGTGAGTTGCTAATTCTGTTTTTTTCACAATAATTGCTGCAGCTTGAATATTTTGAGACAGTACTGAATCCATATTTTACAAGCGATGCAACCACATCTCTTAAATCTCTACAAGGAACCGTGTTGGAGATAGCTATAGAGAGCATCAGTGAAGCAGTCGAAACCCCAGGGCATAATCGTAGACCTACCCGTGGCAGTGAAGACACTGCTTCTGATGACAAGCAATCTGTTTCAGCAGATGACCTCCTCGTAACATATTCCCTTCTCTTTCCAACAAATTCCATCAAAATTTCAAAACCTCAATTTTGATCAGTTTTTTTTTTTTTTCTGGTGAACAGGCGTTAACGAAACAGTGTTCAAACGAATTGCTACAACCAGAGTTGGAGAGAACTCGTGTGAATACAGCATGCTTTGCAGAGTCAACACCATTGGAGCCAACGCCTCCGTTGCCCAAAGCTTCCTACTCTTCCTTCAGAGGATCGATGGACTCTCCAAGCAGAAACTACAGAGGCTCACAATCATCTGGTTCCCCGATTCATGCTCGACCCAGACGGAGATAATAAATAAGATAGCAACTTTTTTATTTTATTTTTTGTTTTGAGTACAACATCAGTCTCTTTTTTGTACGTAAATGGTCATAATTCTCTCTTGTTTTTTTTTTTTTTTTTCTGTTTCTGGTGCACCTATTGTTTGTTGCACTTCTTCAGAATCTATCTTTTTATTTGTGAATTCAGATAAATGGGTGTGTAATTGAGATATCACACGATGAAAGTATCAAAAACCTGTGGGAGATGAAGACACATATCCGAGTAACGATGAAAATTTAAGCAACTTGGCCTCTTCAAAGGTTTTTGAGTTAAGACAAGAAGTAACTAAACACACCAATACAATAGTCACAAAGGACCTCCAAAGAGATTGGTTTTTTTTCCTTAAACCTAGGATTCAGATATGAGTTTTAACTCAGGCTGTCCTCAGTGGTGGAGCCACCAATATTACTCCATCTCCTCTCACAAACAGAAACTCAATCTTCCGCTTTGTTGTCTGCAATCAAAGATAGTAAAAGAAACAAATCACATACAGGGACTAGACCAGAAACTAGCACAACAAGAGGAGTCTCAACAACTAATGAGTACCTAAGAAGCTTAAAAGAGTCAGTTATATAGCAATTCCCTTCTGTTTTGCTCTAACAACTTAACATTCTTGTAGGATAATGACAATATCAGATGTTACTTTTTCAATTCGGGGAGTTAAAAGTAAATGTATTACACAGCTACAAAACAGACTCATCGAGCTATATATATGAATGTCAAAGCAATCAATAAAGCTCAATTTATCCATAAATCCTTATTGAGTCAGGAAAAGCACACGTACCCGAACAATCTCTTCGTATGTTTCGTCATCGATTTCAATTGTTGTGATAGTTTCTTCAACATCACCAAGAATCATATTCAAATGCTGATCAAACGCCTGCTCGGATAACAAAAAAATCAAACCTTTTCAGCTCTAAGAGTGTAGAAATCGTCTACTATTTACTAACTCTGTTCAGGATTGGATATAAACCAACCCATAAATTCCCAATTCGAACTTTTTGAAAACTGAAACATCAAAAGCAAAACCCTATACTTTCCCCTGAAAATACCAAATTCGATACGAAACAGTGAAATCAGCAACAGCAAAATAAACAAAGTCACAAAAATTCACACAAAATATATAAGTGGAACGAGTTCTTCGTAGTTACAAATTCAAGGTATTACTATAGAGACCCACAAAGGAGAGCAAAGAAGATACGTACGTGAAGCTTGCCGCGAAGCTCGCGGTCTGAACGGAGCTTGACATAGATTCTCTCGTCAAGACTCAGCCGAATCAGATCTAGTGGCTCCCTCACGGTGGCGTCCTCCTCGCCGGACATTGTGTAAGACAGAGATATCTTCCCACTAGAAACACTTCTCGGAAGGTTTTGGTTCAGACGAATCAGATACAAACTCTGCTCTCGCGGACACGAACACGAGTTTAACAATTTCGTTCTACAAATAAGATTTTTACTTTACATACCATATGGGCTACGAATAAGAATTTGTATCATATGGGTAAAGGCCCAACAGATAAAATATTAGGCCCATAAATAAACCTACCGTTGACTCACAATTTATTTAGATTCAGTCAATGGCTTCTGCATAAGCTTCATAAAAATTAGCTAAAATATATGTAAAGAGATACTTTAAAATAAATATAAATTTTGATGGAAAGTTTAACCAAAAATATAAATTACGATATTAAATATGAAGTTTTCACATGTTTTTCATGTTATGTTTTATTTTTCGAGTTTTGTAACGCTTAACGGTTCCATAAAATAAGAATACGTCGAAAAACATAACAATTTCTCGAGAATAGATTCGATGCAGAAATCCCGTGATATTTTACACAACGTATTTTAAAAAAACAAAACAAAAAAAAGCGTTTCTATAATGTAATACCAATCAGCTTTAAAGCTATATACAAAAAAAAACAGTTTTATTAATAAATTTAATATGAAACTAAAATTAGAACAAGATATGAGAAATATTTATAACGCTTTTAAACTTTTTTCTTCTTTTAGTTTTGTAACGTTTAACAGTTCTATAAAATAAGCACACGTGTGAGAGTTGAAGGTAAAGATACTCTTAGCTAGCTATTGAAGTTGAAGGTAAAGATATATTATTCATAATTTGTAATGTAATAATCTTGGTGATACAGAAAGTGGTTATCTTCTCGATGGTTGATTATGTCCTGTAAATCATCAATGAAAAATGAAAAGAATGTTCAAAACTCCCAACCTCTAAATTGGCTCTCTATTCCATAAGCTTTTACCTTTTACTTTCAGGTGTAAATTGAAGAAATGTGGTATGGACTAGTGAACTAGAAGGTTGGCCCAAAACAAATGTTGTATGGGCTAGTAGAAATACAATTAGGCCATGGCATTATACCCACAGAAAAGTTAAGGTAAATGCATGACTGTTTTTTAATATTTATCAAGCCTTTTGTATTACTGTTAATTGCATAAGATTGGGAAGAAACATAAAAAGGTGAAAATATGAAATGCGTGATCGAAATATCGGAAAAAAAAAAAAAAAAAAAAAGCAAAAAGAAGAATGTGAGTGAGAAGTTGGCTTTGTTTTATCAAATCTTTTCACCTCTTTTTTTCTTTTTTTTGCCCTTTCCTTGTTCACAAGAGCCTCTCCTCTTCTCTTTATTTTTAATCTTTCAAATTTGTTTTGCCTTTTCTTCTTTTTTTTTCTCATTTCCTTTTTTCCCATATTATCATTACCCAAAAAAAAAAACAAAGTGTTCGTAACTAACCAAACTACGCAATGAACAATGTCATTTCATAAATTTATCAAATCAAAAGTTAAATTCGTATAAGAAAAAACTAACAGTGTTAGTATTTTGCTTAACGTGTACATAAAAAAAAATAAAAAAAAGAGAAACAAGCTTTTACATGACGATAAACACCCTATTAAAAAAACCCCCATGTTCCAACTCAAAACACATCACCTGATTTAATAAGCTTAAATTGTACTTTTTCCAATAATAAAAAATCAGTGGATATATATTAACAACAAATAACAAAAGTACACAAAGAACAAAAAATAAAATAAAATAAAATTTGGTTAAATCAGTAAGAGAGAGAGGAAAGATGAGCTGGAGACAGATAAACTTTGAGAGGTAAAAAAACCACATGGGGGAGGGGAAGATGAATGAAAGTGGTGCCCCGTTGATAACTCTTCTCTCTCCCCCAACATGTGCACATACTCACCTTTGCCCTTTCATTTCTTTTTCTACCCCTTTCTTTCTCCTTCTTCTTAATTCTTACCCCCCACTTCTTTCTTCTTTCTTTTTTACACACCCCTTCCCAACCTCAACCTTAATTAATTACGCAGTAAATCACATTATCATGTTATTACACTCAAAACTATATATACTGTTATATTTAAACGTTCATCGTCTTTGTCTAAGATTAAACCGAATAGTTGAAGTATCTAACATGGTTTAAATTTGCTAGGGCTTTACTCGTATAATTTTATACATATCTTATGGCAGCAGCAGCAGCAGCAGAATCTGTTTGTTTATTTTATTCTTTGAATTTATATATACAAAGTATATTTTTTATTCTCCGGGTGATTTGTGTGAATCCTCCCTCCCTCGAGTACCAATGCTTCCATTTTAAAATTAGTTTTTTTCTGTTTGTTATGTCCATACGATATTTTTATATCCATGAATCATGATAATTAGGTAGATCATATAATACTTTTTTATATATATACTGATGTAGACATGTTAATCATCCTCATCACTCGTCAAACAATCCCAGTCACATTCACACATTGTCTTTAGAGAGAGAGAGAGTTTAGTAGTAATTATATATTTATGTATGCAAGTTAAATCAAAAAAACCACAGCATTTTAAAAATGTCGGTTCTGTTTCGACTTATAATTTTTGTCGGTTGTATAAAACTCGTAAAGAAGCGCACCTTAAACCGTACATCACTGATCATAACCATAATTGTAAATTGTAATTGATACTCTATAGAAGAAGCACCATAAAAAAACGGATTAGCTCATTAGCATAAAAAAGTCAGAATACAAAATTACGACAGCGAAGCACCTTCACATGATTCCAAAATCCGCCGTTAAATATATATCTCATGCTGTATATGTGAGAAAAATAATAATGAATTCAATATATATACTAATATACACATAGATAAATAGAGAACGTATATAATAAGTCCACTCATATACGCTACTATGTGGATTATATTTTAACCTAAGCAAATAGTATAGTTTATCATAACTTTCTTTTTTTTGAAACAGTAGTTTATCATAACTTGTAGTTTCTGATTGGCACAAACAATTCGCATTTTTACATTTCTGTAAAAAATAATTAACAGAGAAATCTAAACAAGTTATTAAGTAATTTTTTTGGTTTTGCAGTTGAAAGTTTATTACGAATGGTCAATATATGCCAAAATGAATAACGGAGCGTTGAATAATAGTATCGTGACAAGAACAAAGCAAAACACTAGAGGCAGAGTACATTAAATCCACGTAGGAAAATGAGTTGAGAAGATGCTTATTACTGCTTAGTTCGGACGACTTCGGACCACAACAATTACAGTCCTTCACAGTCACACTGACACACATATTCGTGTGTGTGTGTGTGTAAAAATACAGTATATAGTTCTGTGTGTGTGTGTGTGATTTTCCGTGCAAACACATATTTGTGTGTATAGCGTATATATACGTGTGTATGATTTTCCGTGCAGAGGCCACTCGTGCGAGTAATGATGGTAACTAAAGCTGATCTTAGAATTGTCTCCTAAGTTAATATTACCACACAAGAAAAAAATAGTAGTTGAGTACTACTACTTCTTACTAGTTTATTTTCCTCAATAGTAGTCTTATGGAGTACTAAAAAGTTTTAAAAGTTGTGGTTGTAGAAAGAATAAAATTATAAAAATGGATCAAACTACAACACAAAATTCCACCTTCAATATTTTCTTTTGTTGGTGTAAATTGGTGCAGTAATTTAGATGGGTCCATATATAGCTCCTTCTTCAAAACCACTTGCATCTTCCTTTTTATCTTTTCCACCTTAAAAATTACCATGGCCCATCAATAATTGAATTACTTAAGCTTTATTCTACACTAATGTCTCTGTTCCTTTTTCTAATTGTGTTTTCTAGTTTCTACCTAATTCTTAATCTCTAATTTGTTAGTTTCTTTAGCACCTAGGGTTTGTAGTTTGTATACTCTCCATATTTGGGAAAATAGTAATCATATAGTACTATTTACCTTTCGTTATGGATACATCATTTTTTATGCGATTATATATCATATTAGATCATTGCATGTATATTCCGCATATAATTCACTAATTAAATTATGTTAATGAACATTGTGTATTAATTTTGTAAGTATGAATTAACGCAAATAGTCTATATTGATATAAGTTTTTATATATACACGTTGCTTGGATTTGATAACATTTTACTTTATCTAAAACCAAAAAGACGACACCACTCTTTCCTTTAAGATTAATATCTTTCACTAAAACATAGTGTAGAACGCATATTTTTGTAAAACAACAACATATATATATATATATATATAGATGCATATAACATAAAATGATACGCAATACTATTTTTTGAGACCCGTTATTATAATAGGTCGTTTTCAACTCCGAAGTGCACCTACGAAAAAGACCCACGACAGATCAAAATATATACTTTATTAGTATAATAATAATGTAAAAAGATTATAAAAAAAATTGTAACGTTAAGGGTCGAGCCATGCGAAAATCGAGTGGCTATTATATGATTTCGTAGAAAGGAAAAAAAAAATCATATTGAATGCTTTTAGGAGTCAGCTACCCAAAAGGATGGTCCCTGATATCACATTTCAATACGTTTTCGTGTAATTCATTAAATAACTCAAATCTAACGCTATTTACTGCCTAATCATGCTGTGAATTTCGATGAACATTCCTAATCGCTTTACCTCAACGCTATGTCCTGAGTAGGTTGATAAATTAACCTTCAATCTTCATTATGTACACAAATTTGCTGCGTTTGGAGAGAAATTATGCAGTTCATGCATTTCAAACAAGGATCATTCTAAAATTTTACCCAAAAAAAAAAAAAAACATTGAATATTTTGTATCAACTGATTGTTCAGATAGAGACACTGTGATTATGCTAACCCAAAAAATTCTAAAAGCTGGGAAAGATTTAAGTCATCAGTACTACTGTATCAAAATTATGCTAGCTATAATATATGTCCCCTAGTACTAAATAAATTTTTAAAGCAAAGTTCGAACGGAGTATTTCCCAAGCTCACTAAGTTATAATACTTGTTAAGATCCTACCAATAATGTTGTCTTAAGAGGGCACACTAAATTTACCAAAATACTTAAAAGCTTGTAGAAATAAACTATTCCTAGCATAACTCAATATCTAAAATAACCCGACTTGGTCATGTAAGAATTTTGTAGGTTAAAACGGGACGTTGGAGAAATTAATATTCTTAACCATTGACAATGATTGTACTTTAGGTTAGTCATCGTTTTAACTTTATAAGTGTTTAAATAATTGATTTAGTTGAATAACGACCGTCAAAATCAGTTTGATAATTAAGAATAAGAGATGATGCAAAATAAATATAAAATATTAAAAAAACTTGAATAACGGAGGCTGATATATATATATGTAATGTATGGCCTCAAGGGGAAATGGTCACCATTTACTTCAATCCCGAAAACGACTTACATCTAACTACTTCCCTTCCAACACATCCTTTTATGTGTTATTATTGCTTTTTTTTAATTATTCTTTTGCTCATACAAAATTGATTCATTGCTCATAAAATGGTCACCTTTAATGTGTGCTCTTGTTATATAGTGTGTGGATGATCATCACTACTGCGAAAACAATTGGCGTGAATGCGATCAGGGAGGGGACAAACCCAGCTAATCAGTTAATCAGGATGGTTTAGTTTATTCAAAACGTTGAGAGCTAAAGAAACATTCTTAGATTAATTGCTTAAAATTTTCTTTTAAAGAGAAACCTCAATGATTAAAGGTCTATGAGATCCACGTTAGGGTTGAAATAGTAATTTTTGAATAATACGTAAAGCAAAGTTTTATGATCCTCCATCTCCACCAACTTTTTTTTTTACGTTTTACTTTTTACCCCCTAAAATATATTATCTTACAAGTTTATCTATGATTAGCAGCGTAAGTATGTACAAAACTAGTAAGTTTTTCAAACTAAGACCATAAGTAAACAAAATGACTTTGAGATTGCATTTTAAGACAAAGTTTAGCTGGACGGACAAAAACCAAACTTAATAGTTATAATCACCACCACCGTCTTTACGCGCAGCTGTCGATAAGTCTCTCTGCAATAATTTTTTATTTTATTTTGGTAGCAGTAGTAGTAAGTGGTAACATATAAATTATTGGTAATTAAAATTATTAATCCTTCCGTTTCCTTCATATATATCTTTTTGTGCCCACTTTTTTCCATCATTGCACATACACCCCATGATGATAAAACTCTTGTTTTTCTTTTTTAAACAACACCAAATTTACGCTCTCTTTGTTTTTCTCTTACTATAAAATATTATAAAAACAGTTTCCACTATGATTATTCTTTATTATGAACTAAAATTAAGCAGTGATTAGTTTCCTATGCTTTGCAAAGAGTATCTATTAAAAAGTAGTACATACAAAAGTTATAGTAATACACTTTTAATTTTGGTCATATTATTTAATTGTTTAGTGTAATGCTCCCAAATTGATACAATATAATCACTTAAAATTAAAACCTATAAATTGATATTCAAGATATTAGTCTTCTTATATTTTACAAAATGTGTCAGAAAGATTGGCATGGTGATTGGAGAAATGGATTTGAAAAAGATATGGAAACACTAAAAATGAACTACAACATTGTTTAGTGGTTACACTTTAACTTTCATTAAATGTCTTAAAATTTCTAAAATAATTTATTTTTGTTATTATTTAAGCTAAAATAAATAATATTTTTTTTTATAAAACGTTACGTTTGTAACTATTAAATATATTTACAGCCAAAATCTTTACAACAACTTTTTCTACAACAGTCCACAGTAACAATTAAAACTAGGCGCCCATGTTCAATACGTGTACCTTAATTTCACATTTTGGAAATCAACCACAAATTACTAAATATAATTACTAAATATCTATATTATATTATTATTATTTACGTTACGTTGGTTCGAACTATATATTATTTAAAAAACTAACTTTAAATCCAAAAATATTAAAACACCTTAATTTATAAACTTAATGAAATTTCTCTATTTTTAACTCCAAAACAAAATCCAATTAAGTCATTTGATGATAGTTATTTAACTTTATACAAATGTTGATAATAGTAACAAAAAAAAAGAGTTGAATACTAATTTACATTTACCCAAAAATCAGAATACGGAGGAGAGAGAGATGGTGAAGATTCCATTTTGGCACAAACAAAGGAAAAGAGTATCAATAAAAGTCCATATATTAAAATAAAAATAGGTAAGAAAAAAGAAATACATCAATTATATTATATATATATTTATATATGGCTCCTTGAGATTGACAAGCAGATCTCATCACCAGAAATTTATATAAATTAAAATTGAAAAAGAAAAAAAAAAGACAAGAAAAGAAAAGAGAAAAGATTAACTTAGGTATTTACAAAACTCTCTAACACACCATAAAACCCTGCGCCTGCAGATTTCACTCTTCTTCCTCTCTCTCTCTCATGTAAACTCTCTCTCTCTTCTCTGTTTCTTTATCTCTCCCTTTTTTTTTCCCTTCTCTAAATTTTTATTTTTTTCCCTTTTTTTTTAAAAAAAATTTCATTATTCATTTCTGTAACTTCTCCTCCGTCAAAGACAGAGAGAGGGTGGGAAAAACAAAACAAGTCGATTAAAAATCAAAACTTTAAAAAACGATGATGCAACTTGGTGGTGGTACTCCGACGACGGCCACTACTACAGCCGCTTCAACCGCTACTACAACTGCACCACCGCCGCCGCCACCGCCACCGGCACAATCGAACGATTCAGCCGCAACAGAAGCTGCAGCGGCAGCAGCGGTCGGGGCGTTTGAGGTGTCGGAAGAGATGAACGAGAGAGGGTTCGGAGGGAATCGTTGGCCGCGGCAGGAAACGCTAGCGTTGCTGAAAATACGATCTGATATGGGAATAGCGTTTCGAGACGCCAGCGTTAAAGGTCCCTTATGGGAAGAGGTTTCTAGGTTCGCGTTTTCTTACCCCTTCCCCTTTTATTCCTTTACCCTCTTTTTTTGGTAATTATCTTATTCCCACTCTTTCTCTTTTCTCCCACTGGAGATTTTGATCTTATTGGAAATGATTATGAAAGCTTTGTTTTTTTCTTTTTCAATTGACCACCACAGTGTCTTTAAGATCTGGTTTTTGATTTCTTGTCTGATGAGATTTGGTTCAAAAGTTTAAATTTTTCGTTTTTGGGTTGCTTGAATTTCGCCGAATTTGTAAGAATTGTCTCTCTTTTTTCAAGTATAGTTCATTGAGATTCAGATTCAGACAGTTCTTCAAGTGGGTTTAATTAAATAAATTCAAACTTTGTTTTAAATATAATTAACAGTTAATTTTTAGATAAAATAAGTTGAGTCATGTTTTATTCATGAGTCTTTTCACATGCTGATTTCACCTAAATCAAAATTCGTCCTTTCTTTTTTAATCTTTATCACAAATATAAAGTTTTGATATTTTTACTGAGGGATGAATTTTTCTTGATCAGGAAAATGGCGGAGCTTGGTTACATAAGGAACGCAAAGAAATGCAAAGAGAAATTCGAAAACGTATACAAATACCACAAACGAACCAAAGAAGGCCGTACCGGTAAATCCGATGGCAAAACTTATCGCTTCTTTGATCAATTGGAAGCTCTCGAGACTCAATCAACGACCTCGCATCACCACCACCACAACAACAACAACAACTCCTCCATCTTCTCTACTCCTCCTCCGGTAACCACCGTTCTGCCGTCGGTAGCAACACTTCCGTCTTCGTCAATTCCTCCGTATACTCTTCCTTCCTTCCCAAACATCTCCGCCGACTTCTTATCGGATAATTCGACGTCGTCTTCGTCTTCTTACTCGACTTCTTCTGATATGGACATGGGCGGCGCTACGACGAATAGGAAGAAGAGGAAAAGGAAATGGAAGGACTTTTTCGAGCGGCTGATGAAACAAGTTGTTGATAAACAAGAGGACCTTCAACGCAAGTTCTTGGAGGCTGTTGAGAAGCGAGAGCACGAGAGGTTGGTTAGAGAAGAATCTTGGAGGGTTCAAGAGATTGCTAGAATCAACCGCGAACACGAGATCTTAGCTCAAGAACGCTCTATGTCCGCTGCTAAAGACGCCGCTGTTATGGCCTTTCTTCAAAAGCTATCAGAGAAGCAACCCAACCACCCAACGGTACCGCAACCGCAACAGGTTCGACCGCAAATGCAGCTTAACAATAACAACAATCAGCAGCAAACGCAGCCTCCTCCTCCGCTTCCGCAGCCAATTCAAGCTCTTGTACCGACGACTTCAGACACTGTGAAAACGGACAATGGGGATCAGCATATGACTCCAGCTTCAGCTTCGGGGTCGGCGAGCTCGTCGCGGTGGCCGAAGGTGGAGATAGAAGCTCTGATAAAGCTGAGGACGAATCTTGATTCGAAATATCAAGAGAACGGGCCAAAAGGACCACTGTGGGAAGAGATATCAGCGGGAATGAGAAGGTTAGGATTCAACAGGAACTCAAAGAGGTGCAAAGAGAAATGGGAAAACATAAACAAATACTTCAAGAAAGTCAAAGAGAGCAACAAGAAACGTCCCGAAGATTCCAAGACTTGTCCTTACTTTCACCAGCTCGATGCTTTATATAGAGAACGCAACAAGTTCCATAGCAGCAGCAACAACAACAACATCGCATCTTCTTCCTCAGCTTCGGGTCTTGTTAAACCGGATAATTCTGTTCCGTTGATGGTCCAACCGGAGCAGCAGTGGCCTCCGGCGCCGGTAACGGCTACGGTAACTGCGGCAGTGGCAGCGGCACAGCAGCCTGATCAGCATCCGCAGCCGTCGGATCAGAACTTCGATGATGAAGAAGGCACAGAAGAAGAATACGAGGAGGATGAGGATGAGGACGAGGACGAGGAGAATGAAGAAGAGGAAGGAGGTGAGTTTGAGCTGGTGCCTAGCAGCAATAACACCAACAAGACGACGAATAATCTTTAATGGTGATGAGGATGATGCGAGTTCGATTCGGAGTGGCGGTGAAAAAATTAGTAATCTTTTATTTCTTCCTTTTTTAAATTTTGATACAGGAGAAGATGAGAAATTATATATTGGAAGGGGGGTTTGTTTTTTCTGTCTTTTTTTCTTTTGATCTTTTGATTTTTATTAAGTTATACTGAAGAGAGATTTAATATGTTAAAACCAAAAAAATAAAAAATAAATGTGATTTAATTATTATTTTATATTTTTTTGTTTCGGGGAGGGGGGGATATACAAACAAATAAATATAAATTGTGGTAATTGAGAGAGGGGACAATGTGGGGTTTTGATAAGTGAATAATAAAAACTGTGACATTGTAATAATGTTTTTTTTTTACCAAAATGAATGGTTCTTGGTGGTGAAGATGTGTGGGTTATTTGTTTGTGTACATATTATTGGTATTTGTTTTTGTGTACATTATTATTATGAAAATGAAAATAAAAAATAAAAAAGAAAGGTGGGACTGAGAGTTACTTACTCATCCTTTTCAGTAACAGTTTCTCCTCCTTGGTAAGATAAATATACATAAAAACTTTATATTAAAAATCGTAAGAGATAAATTGGGAAAAAAAAAAAAAAAGAGAGAAGATGCCAAGTTTCACATGCACACAATGGAGAGAGCGTGGGGTTCGGGGTCCACGTCGAGAAAAAGGAATCTTATTACTCTTTTACACCTTTACACTTACAGCAGCACTGTGTCTTCTTCTTCTTCTTCTTCGTTGCCCTAAAAACGCAATACTCTCTCTTCTTTTTTTCTTTTTTTTAAAGGGTGGTTTCGTAAATTCTTAATATCGAACGCACGTGACAGATCCAACCCATTACTACGAAAATAAAAAAAGAAACTCATATTTGAGAGGCGATGATGATAGATGAGATGATGATAATTCGGTGTGTGTGTATGTCACCAATTTAATTCATATGTAAGTACTATCGACGACACATGTTTGGTCGCATCTCCTGATCTGTTTAACCGGTCACAGATTTTGATGTATCCCTATCTACCGATGATCCTCCTGACTTTTCTCTTACGCTTACGCTTTTACGTTTTTACCTTTTCTTAACTAAGGATGATTAGCACATGATGATATGCCATATCAATCATACGACTTACATATAATGTTTTCGAAGATATATATATTATTCCACATGTCACCAATTTTATGAAGATCATATATATGTGTATATCCAAGCTTGCTTTTTACGTTAAGTAATATTACAAATTAAGATGCGGTACTTGATCATGATGGGTTATGTTAATCCTCGCTGTTTTTATTCTATATGTTTTGCAAACTATATATATATATGAATGCTACATTACACTCAATTTTAATATTATTATCATTTATATATAGATAAATAACTACTATGATTTTATTACCTAATCGACATTTAACATTTACATCTTACGTTATTACTTTATATTATGTAGAGATTTATTTTTGGGTCCGATTGGGTTGAGACTTGTTTTCTTCTCATGGTTGTGTGTGGGTGTGTTTATTTATTTTTTTCATCTAATAGTATAGGCAAAAACCAAACACATGCTTTACAAAAACAAGAAACCAACCTGGATATGATGGAGAAGCACTCCGAATCCAAATCGACTAATAATTTACTAAACCACACCTCAATCGAAATTAAGGTGATTATACAAAAGAATGAGTTTGATCACATCCTGAGATGAACCCAAACAATGAGGACATGACACTCTCTTCTCGACAAAAGCTCTCTATTCAGCCGCAAAGGATGACCGTACGTGTTTGCAACATAAGATTGAATCTTGTGCTTACTCGTATATTTACATACAACTTTTAAATTAAAGGTATATTACTTGTCTCTGAATCTTTAAAACCTAGACACGAATCTACAAACATATCGTCTCACCCAACCTTCGAACTTTCGAAGTTGGAAGAAAGGAGCTATATACCATTATATTGGTAATTATTTATTGTCTTTTCCACCCTCTTTAATTTGCAATATAATATGTGACACATGCGAGCCCACACTTTTAATTTGTTTGGTGTGTGTTATCGTTTATTTGGATCAGATTTTGGATAACAACCACTTAATATTCTGTTTACGTTTCATGTTTCTTCTTAGCATAAGCAAAGTCTTTAGCTAGTTTGTACCGTTGAATTATATATAGAAGAACATCAACATCTTTCTCGCTACAACTAATTTCAAACTGCGAGTTTTAAATGATTAAACATGGCAATAAGTAGACTTTTAAAGTAAACGAAAAGGACTTGTGTAAGAAATATATATACTACTCCTTTTTTTATCAGTTATTGAAAACTTAACTTTGATGGTCCACCGTCGTCCACGGACGTAGATCAGTTTGATGATATATGAATTTATTTTGTATACGTCCATAAATTTCTCTGTGTGTTTATTGGATGTTCTTTTGAAAATAATTCAAGATTCTTTTTTCTTTATCGATCGGTTTTTAATTTTCCTTGTGTGGGCAATAATTTCTCACCAAGCGACCTACTTACTATCAATTCTGTATCATGATGTGTCTTCATATATTTATATAGAGATGTAATAATAGAGGTTTGATTTTTTTTTTTTTTTGACTTAGTCCAATTCTTTGAGAAATTTGTATCATTCTTATATTATATATATGCATATTAAAAATTAAGATTATTAATTGATGTTCTGATGAGACATTGCAAATTACACTTGCACAGCTATATGCATAAGGGTGAATTAAATTTTTATACTCAGTTGACTGCAAAATTAAGAATATAGCATTTATATTTGTATAATTAGTTTTCTCTCATCAACTTGTATAAGTGGACAAAAATATCCTTTTGCATTTAACAAATTATTTAGCAAGATAATAATATAAGTATCGATGATAGTGTTATCAAATACATAAGTAAAATCATGTTATAAGTTAGATGAATAACTATTAAATTACAATGATAACAATATATATATACATATAAGTTTATAAATATATCGTGTTAAATTGTTAAGTTTATATTTACACATATAACCACTATTTTATCAATCCAGACCGATATATAATTTTGTTTTAATTGTAAAATCTAAACCCTAACCACTATTTTATCAACCCAAACCGATATATAATTTTGTTTAAATTGTAAAATCTAAACCCTAACCACTATTTTATCAA